GCGCCGCGAATTTTTTGTTTTAGATGCGTCTACCGATTTTTTTTTTGCATGATTACAGCTTTTTTAGAATTATTTCTGGAATTTTTGAATACAGAACTGAATGAAAAATCTGAGGGACTCATTCTCGAAATGTGAGATCAGGCCCCGGGCCCGAGAAGTAACTTTTGTTCGTTATGTTTATTCCTTTATCAATCTTTAGAGTATTCTATTATTATCTACAGGACAAATATATTCGAAGGGAACGATCATTTGATAAAAAAATCCGTTTTTGGAATTTTCAAAAATTCATAATAAATAACCGAACAACACAAAAATGTTTATTTTTTCACTTGCAATTTAATCGTACGGTGGCGGCTGTATACCCTTAAAAGTTTGAAAATAAAAAAATAAAATTCCCGGGCACACGGAAGTTTTGGTCCTTGATGCTACCATTTTCAGCGAACACCGGAGAAAAATTGCACGCGGGTATCGCACGGTGTACACGCAGAAAGAGTTTTACCTTTTGGCTCCCGATCATTAAAATTCCCGATAATAATTCACAATCAATCACTGCCACCGTGCCCACCGCAATCACCCCAATTACCAAATTATTTTTCATGCTAATAATCTTTGTCCCCGGTTAATCAATAAAAAAAGATATACGATCCGATCGAATGCACGTGATTTACCGCCTTCAATCGATATTTACGTCGTCACGTGGGGGTAAGGAGAAACCACTGCTTTTACGTCATGGCTCTTTTTTTATTTTTTTTTTAATTCAATGGACTTTTTCGAGTTGCATTCGCCGCAGGTCGCAAGTTCATACGACTACTCGATTATTTCGGGTACCGGAAGAGTTCTTTGAAGTACCGCTGGGATCCGTGACAATCATTGAAATCCGACACCCCGGGGTTTTAAATGTTTCCCGATTTGGTTGGACCCATGTTAATGAATTAATGACTGAAACACCCGTAACTCTATGTACCACGGCGCCACTTGCCGGTGAAATCATGTAAAAATCGCGTTAAAATTACGGAAATCGTTACCCCCTTTTCCACCCCCTCACCCACCCAAAAAAAAATGTAATCATTAAAAAATTCATTACGAGAATAAAATCTTACACAAAATTTTTTTGTCTGATTATCATCCGATTGTTATTTCATGATAAAAAAAAAAAATTCTCATTAAATATTTCATAGAATACGTTATATAATTTAGCACGCGAACTCTTCTATTAATTATTGTAAAAAATCATTTCCATAACCTTGGATTTTTATTAAAGAGAAAAATTGCCGAAATTGTGCCAATTTCAATAAAAATAAATGGCCGCTCTCGTTCCAAAACTGTTGGCACGAAAAATGCCCTCCAATTTATTTCAATTGAGACAGTCTCGACGTCCAGAACCCAATTTTTTCCCAACCCATTTATTCTCCCAATCTCAATCACACTATCCAGCACTTCCCCATCAATTAAGAAAGAGATTAATATTTAACACGGTGTCACGATGTAGTTAAGTAACCGCGAATATATCTGAGTAAATGGTATCGCGACACCACAAGCATTTAGCTACGGACAATAAAAGTAATAGAAATATCAGTATTTATATAGAGCACCCCAGGTTAATGGACAGTCCAGTGGGTGCAAAATTCAAAGCAAAACGCCCATCGTAAACCCGGGTCTTGCCTACGCACTCAACGCGTACATTTATCCTTTCATAAATTCGTCTGTGTAAGTGAATAAGTGCGTTGACTCACGCTTTTACCTTTGGAATAGAACAAAGTGGAAGTGCATTATTCTCACAATAAAAAATTTACCAATAATCCAATGAAGAAGGTCGCGACGGTATCTGATAACTCCATCTTCTGATTCCCAAACTGATAAAACACTTGAGATAAGTTCTTAAACAACATTTTGGAATTAACACTTCTTCCATTTCCTAGTAATTCCGAAAAAATGATATTATTTTTTTCAACCTAACTCATACCTAAATTTACTTTAATTTCACTTCATGATAACAAAAACGTAATTAATTCCTTGATAAAAAAAAATTTTTTTAAATCGCTGATTTTACGAATTAATTCCCCATTAATCAATAAATAATTGAAAATGAATGGATTCGATTTAAATTCGATACAATTCGGATTATCAGACTGAATGGTAAATGAATGCGAATGAAAAAGGAAAATGAGAAATGGAAATGAGCGATATGCAAAAAATAGAAAAAATCTACTTGTTTCCGCACATGAGTAACAAATTATTCTATCAAATCCCTCGAAACTTCCGCAATAACTGTCAGAACATATAAAACTTCACGTAGATAAACCGCCCGTGAGTGATAACGAATGACTCGTATGTTTGAATATTCAAATTACTCCAGTGGCATCATTGAGTCTCGTGTTAATCGTACTTGTGTCACTCCTGGACATTTAAGGGTACCCCCAGTATTTTAAAAACTTATTTTCCCCTCTGTCTCTGTGACAAGCCCAGCAATACCACTGGTAAACCAATGCATTATGCATAACCGCGTGGCAACACTCAAACCGGCGCTCCGATTCGCACGTGCAGAGACATTTTTATTGCGTGTTTATGCACTGAATCTCCTCCTGTCGTTCTCTCATTCGCCAATGAAAGATTAAAAAAAAAAAAGAGGATGTGAGGATCTCGTTTCTTCCGTAGGCAATTTGGAGCGCATTTAATGCACCATCTCTCAAGGAGGGAAATCGATTCGGTGATTTAGCCCCAAGCGCCGGATTTTTATCAAAAACATACCAAGTGCTCAATTTTTTACTCCCAAATTACGAAATTCACCTGAATTACTTCATTCACCATTTTACGAGGTGTTGGCTGTATCGATTTTACCGGTACCAGCGAAATAAATTGACGAGACAATGTGTCTCCATTACTCGGGGCAGAAAAAAAATAAGGGAATTGAAAAATTAAACTCAATTTCAACGATTCAATCGATCAGCTCAGTGGAGATGTCGTACAGGATTTTCAGTGGAGTTAGGTCTCATATTTTCGTGGAGTTTTCGAGAAATGCCTTCGAATCTGAAAGAGATGTCGAATTTTTTGTAATGGGATTTTTTCTGGGTCTTAATGAACTCCACAAAAAACGTTATCACGATAATTTAGGTGGCAGCGATAAATACCGAGATATTAATTGAAGATCAAGTTTTTTAAACTGAATTCAGGAGATCACTTCAACGAATAATAATAATAAATCTGAAAATGATGGGGTGTCCTCGGTTTACCAAAGCCATGACTAATTGGAGGGCCAGCATCACCGAGTCCATGAACCCCAGGTAAAATACCCCAGGTGAGGACAAGGAGATGCAGTTCTGGTCCTTAGGACTTCCCTAGATGGCCAAGGCCCCACATCAAACGTTCATTCCCTGAGGTCGTCACAGGAGGAAGCAACTACTGGGTCAGTCGACCATTGGAAAATAAATAAAAAAAATTGTGCAAAAAAAAAATTGTGCAAATAAATCCATCAAAGATCCACTTCCCCAGAGAAACACATGGAAAAAAAAAAGAATAAAATAAAAATGGCAGTGTATGGCCCACAGCAATTTTGGCGACGAGTTTCACATTGCAATTTTTTCCTCTCATTTCTTTTTTTTTCCAGGGTAGGCCATGAACCGAGCTAAATGCGTCTGTGATATTTGCCACGGTCTTTTAGACTCCCCTAGATGGTGAGGGATATATTTTTATTTTTTTATTTTTTCGGTTAATGTTTTTTTAAACGGAGGCCAAAAGGTGCACGGACAGCGCGTATTCGGTGCCCCACAGACGGGCGCCTCGGCAAGGATATACTTCCTATTAGCCGAGACTCTCCCTATATGGTTGTAAAACAACATGGGTCAACCGGTCTACCAGTGGTGTTTGTGTTGTTGGGTTATTTATATTTTTTTCTTCAAGTATTTCCCTAAATAATGGCAAATCTTCCGCGTGGAGTGACCAGAAGAGTTTATTCAATATTTGAACGCAGGAAAAATTTGGGTGTTCAATATTAAGTATTTATAATACCTCCATTATTTTTTCTCCGGCAATTATCGCAAATGTTCAATTTCTTTCCCCTAACTTGTAGGAATTGATTCTCATCGTTTTTTATCGTATTGGTATTAAATGAATTGATTTGGTTGAGTCATTCATTTTTTAATTTTTGTGCTTTAGGAGATTTATGGGACCTTCCCCTCCCTTTCCTTTCTGATTGATTTTTAATAATTCGTTTGAATTGTCATTATTATTTTTTAGTTTTATCCGACTCAATTTTCTTCTCTTCTTTCTTCCGTTCAGTTATTATTTGGTGAATTAATTCGGGTTTACAGAAATTTTGTTGGAGCTGCTACAATTTTTAATTACCGAAATTTGAAAATCCACGGACGCTGGCGCAATTCTTTACATTTTTACATTTCCTGTTCCTCGTTTATCACATCTTATTTTGTGGAAAATATAGAGAAAATTCTGAGGAGATAATTGAAGGAGTTCGTATTTACTATTTACTACAGCAAAAAGGGAAATAATTATACCCTCAACCTTTCAATATTCTCCCCTATTTGCACCAATTATTTTCGAATTTTCTTCGAAGGGCTGTGTTTTGCGCAAGTGGTTTGAAATTTCCATATTTAATGGAATAAAAAATCGCAGTCCATAAAGTCTTAACGATAATTTTCGCCCGCCCACGTTGAGTTTGAGAAAAATATTGCACTCACCGATGCATCGAAGGTAAAGAGTAAAGACGGCAACTGTCAGTGAATTCTGTCCAGCGAGAAATTCCAGGGTAGTCTGGGTGTTGGACTGGCATTCGAATTGCTTAATTTACGGTACTTAACAAGAAACAAATACGAGACTCGTAAACCTTTTTTTGTCATGGTCCGGGGAATTTCCTGGACGAAAAATTCCTGTAACAGAAAAAAATGGAAAATCCATTGAAACTCAATTTAAATTTTAAAGATTCACCATTCCTCCACAGAATGTTAATTGAGGAAAGGAATAAATCAGGCTTTTGTTTCCAACGAGACTTAAGAGAAAAATATCTGTTTTATTTTTTCATACATGAACAATAGGTAATATCAATCTATCTTAACGTTTATAATACTTGAAAAAGGTAATTTCATCGTTAGAATAATCAAAACTTAATGAAATAATAACACTTTAGAAAGAACTTCATTCATCGAGTATTCGAGGAACAGAAACCTGGACCGCTATCCAGTTGGTGGCAAAACCTAGAGGTGCACCAACTGCCACAAACTTCACTCGATCCTCTATAAAAGAAATAAATTAATTATGTAAAGATTCATGAAACAACTCATGTGTCTGCTTCAATATTTTGTCTTTCGAATACCCAGAGAAAGCCCTCAACCCCAGAAATTCATGAAATTTAAACGAAAAACTGATATTTTACCTGCACAAAGCCAACCACTAATATCTTGAGATCCAAGACTCATCCCGAATAAGAAGAAGTGCTTTCGATGAAAAAGAATCGTTTCAAAGACGTTTTTCTTGATTTCCCCCATGATGATTCCAAATTCCTCGTCTAAAATCTTGAGAATCATCCCCAACCCTGTGACATAGACAGTATGAGGGGTGTGTACATACTGAAAATGGAAAATAATTATTAAAAATCAGTTCCAAAGCCCTCCAGATAATTTAAAAAAACAAAGCTCTCTACCAGATTGACAAATTCAAGATATTGACTTCTGAAGTCATCAGTTTCCTCTGGATGATGTCCACTTTCTCCATAAGTCCCTCGAGACCACTTATGCCCATTATCGTGTCCATTATCACCGACAATCTTGGGCCTTCGACCCTTGAAGACACATGTGGCGAACCACTCGCAGTGCTCCTCATTCTCCTCAGGAATACAAGGAATTGCATCAACAAAAACCGATTCACCCTCGTGTAGCCCAGCAGTAAGTGTTTTCCCAGCAGCAAATCTCTTTCCATCGACGTAAAATCTACTTGCAAGGAACAGGATATCATGAGTGAAATTAGTGCCATCGAACACCGAAATTATCCCATGACGACCTCCCAATTTTTTAATTTTCCCACAAACATCGTCAATTCCTCTGTTTATCATCATCCGTTTCAAGGGACTCTTCTCCTCACACCAGCAGGTGTTGACGATCCAAGAGTAGGAGGTGTCCTTTTTCTTGTGTTGAAGGGGCTCGCAAGAGAATTTCACCTAGATCCAACAATAATCTCATCAATAAAGAGGTAAAGCGATAAAACGTAATAACATGTTCCTCAGAAACTTATCGCTTAGTTAAAATGTAAATACTTTGAAGACACATACCAAACAACCCGTCTTCAAATAATCACTCAAAACTCGATTAGCAGGAATGTGTTTTCCTTCCCAATAAAATTGAGTGCTTGACAACAAAGCACTGTCCAACTTATCCTCATGAAAAAACTCGATGTAAGCCTTGTTCGCAGACAAAACGTCAGTCACAACTCCAGATAAATTATAAAGATTAATTATACGTGCCATTTTCCTCCTAATTTAGCTATCGACAGCTTACAGAGACACACGTACACAATTTTGAAAAATCCTCTTCTTATTCACATGACAACGAGCCTGCGAATGAAATCAACCCGTTGCAGTCGGCAATTCAACAATGTCCTTTGATTTCCCATCGAAATCTCCAAGGAACACTGAACAGGCGCCATCTCCTCAGGTTACTGGGATGTCAGCCGTGAAAGAACGCCAGAATTCCACCCAAAAAATAATTTTCTCTTAAAAATTCACAAAATAACAGACCCTTTTATTTCAATCTCAAATCCTCCTCCATAATTAATGATTGCATTTTTCGTAATTATTCTTATCATTCCCTCGCCAAATATTCATACAAACACAACTATGAACACTCGGGTCGGTAATACAGAGAATGGCCTACTATGGGAGTGGCGATAAATCCTAATTATTTATTTTAGTATAATTAATTATAAATGATTGTACAAACAATTGGAATATCAAAATCGAAATGTATAAATGATTTTTCACAAGTTGGACTCTTAATTTGGAATAATTGAGAAATTTTCAATTCTGGTCAGCATCATGTAAAAACTTCATTCATTTTTTTAAATTAATGAGTAAATGTACAAACAAATATTCTTATTGTACAAACATGTACTGACGATATACGATTGAATAATTAAGGCCGCTTTCCTCTTTGGTGACCTTTGTCGGCCAAGTACCTGGAGGTGGTGGAGGACAAGTGCAACGGACATTCGAATGAGCTAAGATTTTTCGGGTTGACTTTATTATTTTTTTCTTTACCAAATTTGGCGGGAAGAGGTTGTGCAACAGGTTTCGTGACTGTTTATCATTTTATTGGACTTTTTCACCATCAAGTAGGTCCATCACTCCTAGATTTATCGAATTAATCATTTTTGGGTTAAAAAAAAGAGCTCAGTAATTATTGTCCATTAATCCTCAATTTAATCTAAAAAAACAAAACTTCTCAGAGTCAGTAATTCTGTAACCACTTCAAATGAACAAGCTTTTTATCTTTGATTACTCTTTATTAACCAATATAAGTAATTAGTAATAGAAAAATTATAGGATGTCAATGAGTAAAAATGCTCCAAAACAGTGAACATTAATTACATCAATTATCGTTGAAAAAAATGAAAAATTAATTGAAAATCCAATGGCATTCTCGAAAGAGAAAAATATTCCAAGATCGCAATGGCAATGAGTGTTCTATAATGAAGGTAAAGAGGTCGATGAAAAAGATGGAAATGCATCGAATTTTTGGTATTACGGCTTGTGGAAGCTCCAGTATTGATGAGGGTTGTCCGGGGATATGGGGATTGACGATTGTGCTCTCGTCAGCCAGCTAGAGTTATCATTTTTTCCACATTTTTCCGTCTGAAATTTCCAGAACAACAATGATCCCCAGATTTTATTAAAATCGACTCAACACCCAGTGGCCGGCCGTTTGATTGATTTGCCATTACGATCTTGTAAGAATGCTTCAATTCAGATTAGCTCCAGCAATCTCGTCACATTTGTCATCCAAATCTCCCTGTAAAGGAACAATCAAATGAAATTTTAATCAAATCAATAATAGCCAACGGGAGAATAGTTTAATCACCTCCTCCAATTGAAGACACTTTCCCCACTCGGTGAGGGTGATTTTGTGATCATTATCAGCATCACAACCATCGAGAAAGGGTGCAATGCAGTGCTCGAGTGCCATGAGGGGTGCACGAATGGGGAAAAGTTCGTGACGCGAAATGGCGCGATCATGTGGGTGTCCATCAAGATCACACCATTTCCATATAGCGGCATTAGTCCAGCGTAAGGTCAAATTAGTCTCGGCCTCCCGTTGCATTTTTAGGTAGTGAGAGGGTAATTCCTGACGATCAGCTAGATCGCGCATTATGTTGAAGAGCCAGTCCCGCATGCGCCTGGGAAAATCGAGCATATCGTCCTCCTTGCACATCTATTGAGACGAATTGATCAGAAGTATCATTCAATCCTATTAAATTTCGATTCCACGTTATTTATTGTTTATTTAATTTACCGGCATCTGACGACATCCTCCATAATACTCGATATGGACATGTTGATACTCGGCACCGCGACACCTGGCATCGTTAGTATCGCAGAAACATCGAGCCTGATAAACCTCGCAATCACTGCCAAATGTCTCATTGTAATTGGTGCAGACCTTGCGCCTGGGGTCGATCTCCTCGTCGCACGAGTCCACACAGACACACTCGGCGATTCCCATATCATTCGACTGTAATGATCAATATTCAATTAATTTTCCTCATAATTACACTATCTCAATTCACACCAACCTTGCAAACTCTCCCTGCGCCACAATGTTTGTCCATACATGGGTCCATTAGCATCGGTTGTTTCTTCTCCACGGACTCTGCACTTCCAGTCTCTGCAGCCTCGTCTGCCTCCAGCATATTCATCACTTCCTGCTGGAACGGAGATTCCGTTGTCGTTGTCCGACGACGATTTTTTTTTCTTCTCTGATAATCATTCGTTTTTTTTTTTTTCAAAGAAATATATTATTTACCCAAAACATTATTTCTTTTAAAAACTTACTTCGGCTGAAACATCAACGATTAAGGCTCCAACGAGCACAATAATCATCATCAACTCCAGCTTCCTTCCCATCTTGATTAACTTCTAAAAACAAAAGCAAAATAAAACAATTGTTATCAATTACAATGGTCTGTCCGGCGTTATTCTTCGAGTTGAAGAGTTCAAGGAATTTTCAATATAAAAATTTGTGATATCTCCGCGGATGAGAAGCATGTATTATAATTATTGAGAGCGTCGAAACATAAAGCAGAACTGGAATATTAGATCAATCAGTGAAGTGCAAATCATCTCTTCAATCCATTTTGTATGATGTTGCCACTGAAGGACTCGAATTGCCGTTACCGCGGAAATCCATGGGGGTCATCTTATTTTCCTCTCCAGAATTGGTGTGAGCTCGTTCATCTTCATTCAAATGATACATCTTCATCTGTTCTCTATTAAAGATTGCTCTCAATTGAGTTACGCACGTTCTTTTAATTCGGTGACCCATTTCATTCATTATATCCTCATTATATCCTGGCATATGCAATTGATGAGAAAAATCTTACAATAGCATGTAGGTATCAAATGTAGAATTAAACGAAATTGGCAAATTAATGAAAAGTTTGTGAAATAATTCTTGTCATAAGTAATTGAATGGAATGCGAGTACGTGGGCTTGATTTGGCGTATTAATACAACGAATTATGTTGAGATACGTTAGAAGGGAGGTACGCGTAGCAGTGAAAAAGCCCCAACGTAGAAAGCCCGTAAGGACCGTGCAACATTCGTTGAACGTTCAATATCGCGCATCGACACTGTTTACCAAATGGATATCTCAACAATTTTACCATTCGCCAGATTCATTCATCCAAACCGATACTGAAAACTAGCGTAATATCTCTAATGTATATTTTATCGCTGGCACTGCTTTCCTCGTTTAAAGCGATGACATACTTCTTCATGGGAATGATTCTACAATTTTCGTTTGACTTTAAATTGCGCCCTCAATTCACCGACACTGGGGCTTTATGAAAATGGATATTAAACCTTTTGCAATCAATTTAATAGGATACATTACGGTTTTATTGTATCGTTATATCATTATTTTGGGCAATTGTTTTAATCAAACATAATTCTATAAGTCTTCAAATTACTTTTCCATCTAATATGCAATACTTGTCAATTAATTATTAATTATTGTCTCAAGCAACATAGAATTCCAAAATTTCATATGTAAGTAAAAGTAAGAGGACTCTGTCCCTCGGGAGAGCTAGGCATGATATGAGATCAATTATATTCAAATCAGTACGCGCATAATATCCAATCCCAAGCAAACATTGATTAATTAAATTCACCGAATAATTAGCATATACAATTTCTCCATGAAAAATAAATGAAAACAATATGAAAAGAACTGATGAATTATGTGATTAAATAATGAGGAGTCTCAATGGGAAAAAATCGAAATATTTAAAAGATCTAAAAGATCAAAGTTGTCTGGTAAAAAAAAGACTAGGCAAGAGGAAGATATTATATTTACGTGTAATTTATTTGTATTTATGCTTGATACCAGGGTAAATATGAAATGGGTTTCATTATGGGAAAATAGTTTACTCACATTTTGTGAAGTTTCGTTTGATCTGAGTTGTTACGGAGGCAGAGAATGAAAATGGTTGTTAAACCGTCGGAGGAGCGGTTGTGACTGCGTTGATGTGTGATGAGCCCTCCAGGTCTAAACCACAGCATCCAAATGATATCATCGCTGCCTACGCTACCCCATTCTGATCTTTCCGCCACATGCGTTACACTATCGCCTTCGACCTTTTTTTTCTCATTCTTCCTCTTCCTCTCCACCGTTTCTCTCTTCTGCGTTTCAATTTTAACTCTCAAATTAAAGTAGCAAATTTCAACGGAATCGTTCAATCTTTCTGTGAATGCCTTCGCCCTATTTCTGAAAATATCTTTATGGAGTTGTGTTAATGGGTAGTGCATTAGCAATCCTTTCTTGAAGGAACTTTGTGGTCGTGGGGATAGGCTACCAGTATTAAGTTTTTAAACTGAAACCAAGTTCTTTCATTTTCATTTTTTTTTTACTTCGATTGTGAGAACGATTGGTTGATGAAGATCAATTTTTAAGGCGAAATGAAGGATACAACGATATCTGGTAGTAAGATAGGTATATTATACTAAATGCAAAAAGTTACAATACATTTGACGTTTTGTTGTTATTCGTAATCTTCTCTTCAATTTGTATTCTATCTTCGTTACGGCTCAACACATCGGTTATTTTTCGCAAGTTTAACATTGTCCACAAAAACGAAATTGTTTAAAGAAAATTGTTGAGACTGGTCGAACTAAAAATATGTCGTATATTCTACAAAAATTCACAACTTAGATTTATCACCGTCGTAATGTTCCTCAATTAGTCGTTACAATTAATTGTGTCGTGTTATTTTTTTAATTTTCTTGTCTTTTGCAGTTTTTTTTTTGTTGTTTTCAGTTTTACTCTCTTTCCATTATCAAATTTTTACTCTAAGTAAAAGGAAACCCACGAAATTCGCTGTTTTTCCTTCTTCTTATTTTTCTTTCGAGTTTGCGATAGAACAAAAAATGAGTAGTTACGAGAGTTAGAAACTCCTCACCTTTCATTATTTATTTCAATCAGAGGAATCACTTGGCATTAAAGTAAAAAAGAAGAGATTGAGACACTGCAATTCATTTGATCTCAATCACAATTTTTTCAACTTTGATTTCCATTAAAATTCATGGAGTTTAATCATAAATTTATTATCGTTTCATTACGAGCCTCTTTCGATGCATCTCCTGCCCTCGAGTGCGACAAATCTATATTTTACAGCAGGTTCGACTGACTCCCGGTTTATCAATTTATTTGTGATGAATAGAGGAACCTAAAGAGAGAGCTTCGAAAGAGGTGAAACTACGTCTCCTCATCTTGATTTGCATGTTCCTTTTTCGTATCATAAAACGATAGGCCAGAGGAATCGTATTCTGCAGGAATAGTCGCCCACAGTCGCAATATTCGGTACAAAAACCACTCACACGTTTCTCTATTTTTCAATATGAAAGTGGAAACGAGTAAAAGATCGCAGAAAAATTCATCATTTTATCTGATTAAAAATTGAACGTTTTCTCCATGCTACTCGACTATTGATCGACTTTATGATTGAATTAATTTTATTATCGCTCCCTGCTTGAGACGATTGAATGAAAATTGGAAGAAAAAATTCCCCAAATTACCTCGGAAATTTATTCATCGGTTTTATTACCATCTTGCCGTTGTCAGACATTTTTTCATTATTTATATTCTTCAATTTTCCATCAATTTATTGTTCTGCAGCTACATTTTATCACAGTTATTAGAATAAGCAAGAGGCATGCAACCTTCACGATTAATTTAGAAATGGATATTGTTCAAATTTTATTTGATGCAAGATGAGATAAAGTGAACCGTCATTGCAGCTATCAGTTTTTTTCTTTCAAACCTATCGTTTTACATGTACCTAATAATCCGATGCGGTTTTTTTATCCTTCCCTTCCTATTGAAATCTTGCACGAGAATAGGCACACTGGTTACATATTAAAATGTTTCGATTATGGAGAAAGATAACGCTCAATTCACTGTGTGGAGATCTCATATTAGGATGTTCCATACAGTATAATTTTCTAAATTTTCTCTTGAAAACAAAATTCTTCCATCATCAACTTGTCACATCGTGTTATGTCTATAAGCTCTACAGTAATTAATTAATGTCTATTACTTCGTGAACTCTACGTCTACGTTTAATTAATAAAAATAAACATAAGAATGAATTTATTAGTAAACAGGTAGTAAACACAGAGGAGAAATGAAAAACACTTGAACCATATTGCAGGTATTATTCTGTTTCATTTCTCATCCATCGGTACGACTAGTTGATGATGTAATTTTTTATTTTATATCAATTTGAAAGAATTATTCTCAGTGTTGAAATTTAATTGCGACTGTGGGCAGGGGCTATTTTCTTTCAATTTGTCAATTTTATTTCAATGATAATATTTTTATTGATACGATGCGATTGCTTGGCGATTATTTCCTGATAATGATTTAGTGATGATTTAGCAAGTATTATTCATGTTTCAATATCGATAATTTCATCGAGGAAATTGGAAGGCTAAAGTTCTGATAGACCTCTTCATGGAAATGTACAATTTTGAATGATGAAAAAGGGAAAAATGGCGAGACCAGCTGCAGTTAAGTGTTTGTTTCTATTTTGTCGAGTTAATGATGATTCAATCGATACCGGCCGATTGATCTCGGCAGTTCGAAGCAGGATTCATCATTTAATTCTACAATTGAAAAAATGTTCTCATTTCCTCTTTAAATAATCGTGAAAAAGCCGTAGAGTTGGTGAAGGAATTCAAATAATCACGATATTTAACCAAATATTTTGATCACTTGGATATCTTCGTCAATTAACACTCGGGAGGTGCAACGATTCTCTACGTGCGTTAAAACAAGTTAAGCCTATTATCTCGTATGATTTATCATTCTGTACCTTCAATGTCTTTTATTATGGCTTGACTTCGTTTTCTGGCTTATTTATTTTTATTTTTTACATGAAGAACCACTTTTCGCCTTATTATTGTTACGAAGCAAAATAAATGTCGATCATTTCAGTTCTGATGCGGTAAAATTGTCTTGCCATTTTTTTCCCAAATCTGACGTTTTACCACTTCACCACTGATTACTGCTTCATTGGGAAATAAAATGATAATATTGACAGTGTGAGTTTTATTGGCACGTGATCTGAAAGTGGGGAATGCACCCCAAATTTATCAATCCTCAGTTCTCTTAAAAGCCTTTAGAAATCAATTTTAATAATAATATCTAGAAGTTCTCTCTGCCACTTGCCATTCTAATTCCCAAGAAACCAAAATGAAATAGTATGCTATATCCACATGATGTTTATGTTGACCGTCAGGGTCGGACGGCGTTCGAGGGATCCGTAAAAATTAAATATAATAATGAAATGGGCGCGTCCTATGTAAACAATAATTGGATCGATGCACGGGGCTTCAGAAGGTAAGAACAATTAATTGATGAGGTGTAAACAATTATCATTTTGTTTTATATAAATTCAAGAATTTATTTTAGTTAATATCGATAGATAGATAATGGATTGCTTGAGCCCGGGAAATTATTCCGAAGCCCCGTGATACAATTTTGAAGGGGGGGGATTATTTTAACATTCTCCATCCAAAAAAAACGAAATGAAAAACTTGATTCGATTACACATTCGTCAACGATTGAGTTTGCTTTGTTTCTTCTTTATGATCAACATCATCATGGTTAATAGTGTCTTTGTCTCTGGTATGTTTACTCCTCTATTGATCCGTCCAACGGCATTAATTAAGTTTATATGTACTCTTTTTTTTTAACTTTTCCTATTTTCTTTCCTTTTTTTTGTTTTTCATCGTTTTGTCGATTCGTGTCTGGAAGGGAAAGTAATTGGCGTCGTAGTTTGAAAATGGGGAAAAGTAGAGATTGCGAGGCGGATTTTAACGGCGATTTTGATAAGCTGCACTGCCCATATTATTTTGTTGTCTCATCCCACCTCGACCACCATCACCACGTTGAAATCCACCACGACCACCTCTTGAACCGTGTTGAGGGCCTCTCATTGGACCACCAGGGCCACCTGTGATGTTATTTTTTTTTTAATCATTGTTATGATTGAATTTAGTGAGTATATTTGAGAAAAATAATTCCTCTTATCCCTTACCTGGACCACGCTGTTGTGATTGTTGCTGCTGTCCTCCCATGGATGACCTCATATTACCATCATTCTGATTCGACCGGATATTATCTCCAGGACCCCTCGGTCTATTTTTCTTCTCTTCGATATTGAGCTTGAGACCATTTTCATCAGGATATCCAATGGGAAGTGCATCTAGAACCTTTTGCACAACGTTGGCATCTTCAAAGGTGACAAATCCGTAGTTAGGTACTCTCCCAGAGTTGTTCTGTCCCTGTGGGCCCTTAGCTCTATCATTGGCCTTGCAGTGGATGTGTAAATCAACAACTCGGCCGTATCGTTCAAAGATTTTTCTGAGTTCTGTTTCTGTCGCTTGATGGGGAACATTGCCAACAAAGAGCTGGTTAGTGTCAGGCCACTCGCGACGTCCACGATTCTCTTTTTGAGGAGGTCCTACACGAGTTGGTCGTTGCTGTTGGGCCAGTGGCTGTGGTTGCTGCTGTGGCTGCTGCTGTGTCTGACTGGCCATTCGATGAATTTGTGGTGGGCCGGAAGACATAATACCGGAGGAAACTGTCGTAGAACTTGTCGTCTTCGTTCCCATGGCTCGATCATCAATGGGCATGGACATGGGTGGAGGTGACATGGACAATTTGGAGACTTGTGGAGTATGACCAGTGATGACATTGGATCTCACCGTTCGTGCATAGGATCTAACTTTACTGCCATTGGCAGCAGCATGGAGGTCACCCTCCGGCTCGATCGAGGAGCTTTGGAAGCTCTCGCTTTCCTGCAGTTCATTTGTCTCCTCTGGAGGAATATCCTCCTCAACGGACTGAGGTGCCTGTTGTGGGGGCTCTGTCGGGGTGCTGTCCTGTTCTTGAGTGAATGACTCTTGAGCTGGTTCTGTAACATACTGATGCTGAATCGCTGGCTGTTGAGGTGGAGCCAGAGCTGGTTGACTGATAATGGCAGTCTCCTCGTGAACATTTCCGTTGATCACTGGCTGAAGGCCTGGGTGGACCTGTTGCTGAGGTGGTGGAGGGTAGTATATTTGCTGCTGCTGGGGTTGAGCAAGAGCTGGCTGTTGAGTTGGAATGAGATTGCCGTGGGCCTGTTGCTGCTCTCCAACCGTCTGCACTGTCGTCCCATGATGACTCTCGTCCTCTTCAGCTTCAGATCGGCCTTCACCACCGTCACGCTCACCACCCTCACCCAGTCCTGTTTCACTCTCCAGCTCGCCCTCCTCCTCGTCCGGAAAGCCGAGATCCTGGTAACGGAAAATGTCGTTGTGGACGTAATACGTCTTTGGAGCCTGCGCTGCCAGTACAAATGTTTGAGTGAAACGACGCATTGGTTGTCCTGCATTCGACAGTTCTCCTGCTACCTGAACCACCACACCACCTCCCATAGTAGCCTGAGAATCCACTTGAGTTATTTTGGCATGACAATCATGGAAATTCAGCTGCTGAATCTTCTGATGAATCTCTTTCTGCCCAATTGCCGGAATAATCTCACGATCAGTTGTACTCAATCCTCCATGGAGATATGATGATTTGTTGCTGTAGAATCTTCACATAAAAAAAAACAACAAAAAAACACCAACAAATAAACAAACAATCAAATAGATAAAAAATATATTTCATCCAAGTATGGATATGTGGAGGTTACCTGTGTACATGAACTGGGGCTCGGTTGAGCAACGTGTAGTATTGTCGAACAAACTCACGACCAACAGACTGAGCCGAGGGGGTTGCCTCCATGACCATTTCCTTTATATCACCTTGGTATTACAGTTTCCACGCGAATTTTTTTCCTTCCAACTCGGTCAGTTGTCCTCTTGCAATTCGCTGTAGAGTGAGGCGAAGCGACTTTCCTCTCTAAGGGAGAATTTTGGATACAAACAATTTTCATTGATTTATAAATTCGTAGAATTACTGACACGAAACGACAATGCCAACGTATATCCAGATTAATGTGTGCTTTGTTAATTTGCTAGATTAAAAAAATAGTCATCAGAGCTTGGCTAAAGCATCGATAATTGGCCTGAACATGATTATTCATATACGTGAATATATTAATGAATTAACAAGGTCGAAGGAATAATGATTAAAATACAAATAAAATAACAATGAGAATGAATGAAGCCCTGACAAAGGCTTCTGGCGTGTGTCTAAAACTCGAGGCACATGGCGTAATTTTCTCCCGAGTCTCGACGCACACACGCGGCCTTCAGACACTTCCCTCACCCTCCCTCGTTATTTAGCCAAAAACTCGGAATCACTCACCCTGAAGAAATAAAAAAATTAATGAGGTAAAATGTTGGCGGATTACGGCGTATTAAATGACGTCGCGATAGTGAGAAAACTTCCAGGGATCGGCTGGCGCAAGCATGGCGATTTTTTGGACGCTGGGGAGCGCCAAAATCCCCAGGACTCCTCCAAAATTTTTCCGACCTAACAAACATTCTCGTCTACCCACTCCCAAATCCCTTTACTTTCAAGAAATTCTCCCAACACCTCAATATCTTTATTCCTATTATTATTATGCAAATATCAAGATGAACTCACCCTCTAGTGTGATTGCCTCTGGAAAATTCTTTCCCTCGGGTGTCAGAGGTGTCCGAGCTTGGGAATGTCGGTTAGAATCGAGCCGGGACTCCTGATACCGTGAAAAATAACGAGATCTCGCAATATTTCCCACGTAATAAATGGATCAAACAACAAACGTCTAGTACGCTCCCACTAACCCTCAATAATTCTAGACAAAAAAAAAATGTACAATCTCCTAACGATTAAAACGTATATTGGTAAAAATTTATTGAATACAAAAATTAATGTACAAACATTAAACCTATTGGCTATTCCCAGAGTTTAGTACTTGATTTTTGAGAGAGGGGGATATAGAATAGTTATGGCTTATTTCTTATTCCGTCTGTTTGTGTTACTTGAAAAAAAAAAATCAACCGGAGGAGCACTCGTGGTGTCAGCACACAGCAGAACCCTGTACACTGAAATTATACACTACACCGTATGAGCCGGTGAAATACACGGGCAGGGTTGCCAGACGGGAAAGACTGGATTCTGGTATCCCCTCCAAAAAATTATGGTATATGCTGGGAAATTATGGTATCAAGGAATGGTAAGGTAGAAACCGCTTAAACTGTGCGAAATTTGAAATAACGACCTTCCAAATCGTCTTCACATCTTCTATGAATAGTTTATTATCTTAAATATAGGATATCTACGGCTAAAATTTGGCATATCACTTACAGAATAAATAAAATTTGATAAACTGTCGATATGAAATGAACAAAAGTATAAAAATCAGACGAACGTTATCTCATCATCAGACTCGTCACTCGGCTGCTGTTTTCCAACTGATCCGTCTGTACTCTCATTAACAACTACAAAGGAAGCAGAGGTACAAGGCTGCTGCCTAATAGCCTTCATCTCCTTATTTCTCTTATCATCTCCATACAAATTTGAACTTTTCATCCTGGACAACATGTCTTGGGATGGCATGAATTTCGAGCTTCCTCCCGATGATTTCACATTCTGACTTGATAGAACTAAGCCGTTAATAGTATTAACAATCAATTTGTTCCTTGCCTTGGTTTTGATTAAATTAACTTTGGAGAAAATACGTTCACTATCGGCATTAGAATGTGGGAGGGATAAGATTTGCAATACAACCGCAGAAAGATTACGGAATAGATGAACACCTCCGTCATCATCATTCTTCACGGTTGATAGCTCGCTCCAAAACGCATCCGTTTCCAATCCAGCAAGGCGCTGTTTGTGCTCTTCGATATATGAATGTGAAGGCAACCCACGCCATTCATTGTCAATGGCTTGAAAATCAGCATTTTTGCAAATCCTTGGTAGCGATGAGAGTAATGGAGCAAGAGTAGGTACTGTATCTCTGAGAGTTTGGGATAAGGTAGCAGGAGGCTTGAAAACTCTAATTTTATTCAAGACAGGGTTCTCGAAATCATAACGTTTCTTGATTTCAAGACATCCTGCAATTAAAAAATTTCTGCATCTGTCATGGAAAAATTTCGTCAAATCTTTCTCTTCAATGAAAACTCTCTTTTGCATTTCATTCATCACGTGAACACCCAAATATATTTGCGAATTTGGGAGAAAGTGTGAACTCTCCTCAGGATTTATTTTTGACAAATCTGTTGAAACTACGTAACTCCTCTTCATGTACGAGCAAAGAAGCTCTCTGTAGAGTTCTGTCATTTTGTCATGCACGTCTGTTATGACCACTTTACTTGACTGGAAGTATTGATTGACTCGTGAGAAGAGTGGTAGCACCCATTTCAGAAAAAAGAAATACAGCTTATTGAAAGGATCATGTAAGGCATTATGAATAGTCTCGGCTATCACCAGCTTTTCCTCAAATCTGTGCTCTGTGAAATATAATTGTAACGCTGACCACTGCTCCAGCATTCTCTCCACCACTGCGCTCAGTGATAACCAACGAGTTTGAGAAGGGTGCAACAATGAATGAACAGGAGAGTCTGTAAAAACTTGAAATTGAGAGAATCCAGATAATCTCTTAGCACTTGCATGAAAAAAATTATAGACATTTCGAGCTAAGTCTTCAACTGTACGAGGTAATTGTTTACAGGCACAACTGGCAGCCAAATGCAGTGAGTGACATAAACATTTGAAAATAATAATTCCTGGGAAATCACGTTTCAGCCTGCTTGCGACTGAATTAAACTCCCCCATCATCACGTTGCATCCGTCTGAACCAAAGCCAATGATGTTCTCCATTGGAATACCTCGATCTTTGAAGCTTTTAATAAGAGCGGAGTACAGATGTTCTCCAGTAGCACTCGTAACAGATCCCTCCTTATTAAAAACTTGTGACAACTCCCAGAATTTACTCGCGATTCTTCCTTTTTTTTCATCGTAGAAACGAACTATGAAGCAACTCGACTTTGTAGTGGAGATATCGGTGGACTCATCTGTAAGAACACTGAATTTTGTATTCTTCAGTGTTTCTGTCAATTCAACTTTCTCACTCTCACCGATGACGTTTGTGACAATTGCAGTTCCTTTAGTCCTTTTCAAGGCCAATTTTTTGGCAATTGTAGAATCGTGAAAGATATTCTTTAATGTGGGAGTGAGTTTATCCATCAAATTAAGCGCAATGTTGTGCTCAGCGAAAAAACCTGTCAGTTGGATCTCTGCGATGGTCACGTTGATGTCCAACGTAAAGGATCCATGGCTGCTGACAGGTTTGATGAAGTTAGTAATTTTTGAAGCTTTTGATAGTGTGGCATTCTCTTTTGATTGATGTTTCAATGATTTTTTATGAGATAGCAAGACTGAGGAATCAGCAGTGAGAATTTGATTACACAATTTACATCGTGCTTTGTACATGTCATCGGGAATCTTCACGAGCCACTGCATGAACCTTTCATCTGACAGCCAGTCCGTCCGAAATCTCTGAGCTATCTTTGCTCTTTTAATTTTTTTAGGTGGAGTATCAGGGAGTTCCTCCTTTTCTGAATCTGCCATTCTAGTTAAAAAGGGTATGGTCAATAGCTTGTAAATGCAACTTACCGTTATAATTAATTAAAAGTCGCTGAAAGCATGATTATCTACCTGAAAAATGTCGGGAATAATAAAACCGATACGCAGTCGCGTATCTTGATTATCAGAAATGATATATCTGATTATCTGCGAATAATGACGATTCATTCGAGTTTGGCGGAAATAAAAAGCACTTGTAAGCCAGATCGGACAATGTACAGAAATAACCGCCTTGCATAATACAAAATCATGCAGAGAGATAACCATAGTACAGGCTCTGTGATTTGTCAACATTTTATAAGAATGTCTATCATTGGTTGAAACCTCAAAGTGCAGAAACTTATTCTATCTGACGACGGTGCCTTTAGTGACCTGCATTATCAGCCGTTCGAGAATATTGTCGATGTTTCTCATCTATCGTCTATAGTCGCATGAACTCCACTGGCGGGAGCATTCAAATGCAAAACCTGATGATTAATATGGAAATATTGAAAAAATCGACAAAAAATATCAAATTCAGCTGGGTTTCAAAATTATGGTATAATTGGGATACCATGATCCGTTTCTATGGTATCTGGTATCAGGGCTAAAATTATGGTAGCGATACCATAATTATGGTATACCTGGCAACACTGTACACGGGGATAATTGAAGGAGATTGTTGGCTAACTTCGGGATATTTGTGTTCCTAAAATTAATATCGCCATTTTGTGAGGCTTTCGATCCGATACTCTAGCGGATAGCGTGAGGAACTAGGATTTTAGGGTGAATTCTCACCGGATATTGACGACTAATTAAACGCTTATCGATTTTCGTTAGTACATTCGGACAATTTTTTTTTCTCCTTTACCTTCTTTTTTCCAAATGATGTCATACTTTATTTTGCGTTATCCTTACCTATGGTGAGACAAATTCTTCTGCATCGATAATTTTTCCTATTTTATTCCGAAGTCATGAAATAGTCAATGGGTGGAAGGTTGAGATAAATTAACAAATATAAATTATGTACACAAAATGAATTTATTTAATCCTATTAATCTTAGCAATAAGGAAGCAATTATTCTTTTTACGACACATTGTACTTAATCGTAAAGATAAAACAGTTTCTACTTGTAGAAACTGTTACTAATTTGTTCTTATATCGTTTCCCACTGTTTCTGTAAAAAGTACATTGCCTGCTTACTTAAACACTAGTTGTAGTAAATATGAATTATAGACAAAATTAAAATAATCTTATTGCTAAAAGAGGTGTGAGGACATATGTCGGTTTTTCGATCATTATACGTTCACATCGTAATTATTACTCTTCACTATGGTGTCCCCCTTAATGATTAGACGAATTCATACAATTGATGGCCTTGTTTATTCTTCATCTATTCATCTTTTGTACAAAATGGACGATGGAATAAATGACTCATGGAAAGTTTTTGGCTTTATTCGTTCGATAAATTCGATAAATTATAAAGTGCAGAAAATAATGAAAACGGGCATGATTTATAATGAATTTGTACAAAAGACAAAAGATAAAGGTGATAAGGGAGAGAATACAATTTTGAAAATACATGAACGTCACCGGTATGTACACAATAATACATATCAGGAACGTCAATGCATCCCTTATTTATAATATCTTTAACTTATGGGTGTAAACAAAATAAGCCACCTGAAATAATAACGGAGCAAGCAAATTTTCAATATTTCTTTTGAGGCTTTTATCAACGATGAAAGAACGAAAATAAAGATCGATCAATGCTTTGCTTTACAAATTACTGCTGCTTCTGTTGGTGATCTTGGTGGGTGTAATTATTTTGCGACAGTTGTCTGCGTTGTTGCATGTCTTGTGGTTGAAAATGACGGGGCTTAATGGAATGATGATTCGACGAGTTGTGAGATTTGTTGTGGGGCAGGGAGCCTGTAAACACCAAATCATATTTTCATTTAAAAATTGATAAATCATAAGTCATAATGCTGACAACTTAAATTTCAATGTCGGGGATATAGAAAATTCGCGAAATGATCCATAACAAGGGAAGAGGTGGGGGGATCGCATGCAAAAAAAAAGGTTAAGCAGGCAAAAGTTAATAAATGAAAGGGGGTATGTATGAGAGGACAAAATGATTCACAAGAAGCCTTTAAGTTAAATGAATTTCGTTGGTTTCTCGTCCGAGTGGAATAACTTTATCATTATTGTTGTGATTATCATCATCATCATCATCATCGCCATCGTTTGTATGGATTAATTTTTTTCTTCCTTTATTCCACTCTCGAAGAACCTCTTTATTTTTCTTTTTAGATAAATGAGGTGGTAAGGAAAGATTAAGGGGACACTCACCAGCGGTTACAATGCGAATTAGCATTGATGTCGCGATTAATGATATTCCATTAATAGGGTTGGTGCCTTTGGTTCTGGCGACCACCACCCCTCTGCTTGCCGCCGTAGCCTGAGCCTCCTGAAACACACCCATGTCGCACTGTTAGTCCAATTTCATGGACATTTCCCCCCTTACACCTTCCACCGAAGTTATTTTAAACTTAATTCAATATTTTTTAAAAAAATTGTAAAAAATCAAAACAAATTGTGAACGAGTCATTAGTTATCAGTAATAAAAAAAATGAATAATCCGGTGACGTGTTTTAAATGAGTCACTTAAACTATTTAAACTAATTTTCCATTTCAGTATGCAAAAAAAAAATTTTTTTAATTACCAAACGCACACTGCACGATCAACTATTTTTATCTATTAAGTGATTAATTTAATAATTATTCGAAACTTATTTGATTTCTTTGGTAATTAATGTATAGAACAAAATAGTAGACTAGAGAAAATATTTGACTACATAGAGGCTACAGGCTAAGGTAGTAAGCTGTAGGCTGCGTCCCAATTCATATACCTCCCTGTTTTTTTTTTAAACCCCTTTGACATTTCTGGGCCAGTCATCTTGTGTTTTTACTGCTTTCAATTCATCAAGGTGTGATGGATTGAACCGATAAGACAGAGGCACGAGAGTGAGTGATGAGAAAAAAAATAATAGCCAGAAATGTAATAGGGGTAAGATTAAATTAAAGGGATGAATTGAAATTTATCCATAAGGGTGTGTAATTAAAAAATCAACTAAAATTTTTTAATAAATACTAGAAATAATAAATGAATTATTAGCAATAGTAGAATAACCACGTGGTAAGTGTTAAGGGGGAGGAATGATAGATATTCAAATGCTAGGTTTTTGTGATGATCATAGTGTACTTCCTGGAAATATTTCGGAATATATAGAGCGCTGGTTATACGATATGATGAATGACAAGCGGATTCATGCAAATGTATGGATAAAATGAGAGTCTAATTATTTTTCAACTACTCGTCTCATCGATTTGTGAGAGGCGTAACGGTCGTGAGGGAATGACTGGGTACGTTTTGTGGTATCTCGGGGGGAGGCACAGAGAAATATATGAACAGGTGGTTTTTGGAAGAAAGTAAAATAGGAAGGGGAGGAGATAATCATTGACACCGATTTTAGTGGAGGGTGAACAAAAACAATAGATAAGGAACGCTAATGCGTACCTTTACCCCGTGCACCACCACGCCCGCCACTGTAGCCACCTTCGTAACTACCCCCGCCATAGCCATAGCCGTCTGCCGTTTTCATGGAACACACGGTAGAGAGACTTTAGTTATTTCATTCTTCCATGAGAGTTTTTCTTTTTTTTTTCTTTTTTCTTTGTGATTAGAGTTTATGATGATAGTTTGATAATAAGGGTGAGCTTGTCTGCGTTGCTTTCCTCTGAAATCTCGTGGTAAAAATCATTGAGGCTTTGACAGAAGTGCAACAGCAAAAAAATGTCCTTCTATTTTACTATGTTAATTGAAAATTAATTCTACTTTTCATGTTCCTCTCCCTTAACTACAATGCGAGAGTATCCCTCAACTAAACCGATCTATACTACCGATCGATTCCTGAAATAGGAGAAAATAACTGCCACTATAAACAGCACCTTTCCTTCTTTATTTATTTATCATTTATCTCGTTCAATATTTCGTAGCCATGGAATGATTACTAATTCTCATGATGAGGTTATTAATGTGAATTTGAAAAGGTTGGAATAAAAATAGACTCCATGCGTGATGGGAAAGAGTTGTGGGGATGATAATGATAAGCAGGAATGAATGGGTTTTACTCGATTTATCATCTCGTACCCCTCATTGTGCTGTTCACTTTTCCTTCATTTTTATCATTACGCGTTTTTCATATGTAACAATGAATGAAATACTGAATCATTTAAAACAGGTCATCAGAAAGACGAAAAATTACACTTTCATTGGTACATACGGTACAACAATCCACAAGTGCCAAATAAATTACTTAACAGACTCACAAATAATACTCTTCAAGTTTACACGTTGCTATCATATAAATTAAAGTAACACTGTGCAATATTTCGTTGTGTTCAGACATAAAAAGGTAAATAAATAAGTTAAAAAAATAAATAAACGTCGAGTGTAATATTTGTTAGTGCGAACATTGAATTCAGAGTATCCTCAGAAATAAAGCACGTAGTAAAAAAATGAAGAAGAGTCGGGAGCCTTAAAATTAGTAAGTACTGTAATTACCGTAACCATTGTAATCGTAGGGAGCGTAGCCACCGCTGTAGTAGTCATAGTTGTAGCCATCGTAACCACCACCGTAGCTACCTTGGCCATATCCATAACCACCGCTGTAGTTGCTCTGACCCCAGCCCCCCTGTGCTCCGAAGCCACGGCCGCGACCACGCCCACCGCGTCCACCTCGAGCACCAGCCCCACCTCTCATTCCACCCATGCCGTCTGGCTTTGGTGTCGCCTTCTTTACATCAACCTGCACCAAAACAAAACAAAACGAAAATAATGAGTTTTATCAATATTTACATGTAGAATGTAAATACAATACTATTGGGAAATATTTGAATGGGCGTGTCTTCTCACCTCCTTGCCATTGATCGTTTGTTTTGGTGTCTTGAGAAGTTCGTTGACTACCTGTTCTGATTCAAACGTGATAAAGCAGAAACCCTTTCTCTGGTTCTTTGTCTTATCAAATGGCATTTCAACATCAACGATGGTGCCAAATTGAGAGAAAAAGTTCTTAATGTCATCGTCAGACAGTTCTGTAGATAGTCCACCGACAAAAATTTTTCCGTGTCGGGCTTTCGCTTTCTTTGGGTCAACTTTTTTACTGTTAATGACGTGTTCACCAGCGTGCATAATCTGCAAAAAAAAACATCTTGTTAAATTTCATATTCGAAAGGACATACATTTTTTAAACGTTTTATTATTTAACTTCAGGAAGCCTTAGGTTGTCCTCACTTACACTCAGTAGCAGAACTGACTATTAATAATCATCATTTCGAAGAGAATTTAATAATTTGTAATTGAAAATTATGATGAAGTAATATTTACCTTATCGAGTGATTCAGCCTTGGCGAAGACGATGAAGGCAAAGCCCCTTGATCTTCCAGTGTTTGGGTCTGTTTTGACATTGATACTCTCAATGTCTCCGTACGAGCCAAAATGATCTCTCAGTTCCTCTGAAACAATCGGACAATCTCACTAGTAAAGGCGTTTATCTTCCGTTTGATTAATAAAAAATAATAATTCATTATGAATTTAAGAAAGTTAAGCTCAGAAATCTAGTAGTCTCATACAACAGTGCCATTCTGTTGTCCGAAGGTGTCCTAAGATAATAATTCATCATTGCTGATTTCTCATTATGATTCGGATGGTGAAATTTAAAATTATCAATAAAAATTATACTCACTGTCAGTGGTTTCCCAACTGAGTCCTCCAACGAATAATTTTCTGAAGCGTAATAAAAAAATTTATGTAAATAATTAAATCCCAAAGAGTGGAAAAAAATAATTTCACATTATGGAATGGAATAGTTAATGTACCTGTCATTCAATGATTCCTGGTTGTTACCCCCAGCAGATCTGCAAATGAATCGAACGAAAATTATTATACATATGTGGGCGATAAAAGGTGATAAATAATTAATATTTAATCTAGATTATTGAATGTCGAAAATTTCAATAACTAAAAATAAACGCAGCCAAAAAATTTGAATCTTTCAATAAAAATAATCCATTATGAAAAAGGAAGAGTGACTCGACTCCTGGAATGATCTCGAATTGCTGTTAAAAATAGAAACAAACAGGGGAAAAAAACAAATTCAACACCGAGCACATACAGAGAGAGGGAAAGAGCGCATAAGTGTAATTCCCTTTCACTTTTCTCTATTCTATAACAACAGAATATGTGATTAATTAAATTTATCTCTACCTCCTTAATAAACTAAATAAAAAATCATGTTCATTGTATTTTATGGCTTCGCAACACATAACAGAAAATTATAACAGATATCTTTTCAATTCTCTCAAACGACAAATTTTGAAGAGAAACGCCGATGACAAGGAATTATTACAGTCAATAAATATTCATTACAACAGATCCCTAAAAGAACAAAGTGCCTGGCCAATAGAAAAGTTATAGTAACAACAACGAGATGGTAGAAATAAATTGGAAATTTTTGTTTAAAGAGAATGAGGAAAGCAAATTAAAAGTTTCTTGTTGGAAAAAAAAATTGTTAGGAAAATTTGATCGATTATAGGTCAAGACTCCAGTTGCCACACAGCTGCGCCTAAAGGAAACAATAATTAAACTTTTCATCCACATAATAATCAATAAATAGTATATTCTCTGAACTGCTGATAGGCCCAAAATAATTGATAATTGGGTTGACTCTGAACTGGAACTCTATTAGAAATGTGAAAATGCTATAAGAAAATCCACTGAATTTTTCCTTTTGCTTAATCTCATAAAAATGATTTGACACATATTTGTCTCTCATAAGTGGCAAAGATAATCTCGCATTACAGTACCCATAATTTGTTCTCTCAAAATCTCATGAACTCGATTAATTTATCCACAAATTCATCGGCAAATAAATATTTGATCAATTGCATCGAGTCGTGATGTACTTTTTCCTCTCATTTTTATGATATGTTTGCTCAAAACTCAAGCTGCGGTGGAATAATATCACACTGTTCACTAGAAAATTTTATATTTGCTGTTTCATTGAACTTTTGGCTTTCTGTTTTTTTGGTTTGGTTTTTATATATTGTTTTTTTTGTTTTATATCATCTAGGGCTGGTGATAAATACCGTGGGCACCAGTCACTCGCCGGTACTCAGAGTTGTCGGTAGGTTCTCGGTAAGCCAGTTGCGAGCTGCCCGCCCATATTCGCACTGGGTCGTGTGCCACCTGCAGACCAAGCCACATAAACTGGGTTAATGGCGCTCCACGTAGTCTGTTGACAATAATTTTTCGCATTGTTTTTTGTTTTTTTTTAAACTTTTTTGTTTGTTTGTTTTTATTCATTCTGGCCCTAGTGACTCTGTTGCTTCGGTCACGCTCCAAAATAATCACTTCAATTTTTTTTATATTTGTCTATGCAATTGAACTCTACTGCGTGACCCAGCAGGCAAGGTGATTTGTTTTTTTTTCGTATTCTCCGTGCGAAACAGTATTTTGACTCGAACTTCCAGTGCTTGTGCCATGACGATACTCGACGATGAGACGATAGTTAAAATTTTTTCAATCACAAGGCTTCAAAGATATTCTCTATTGTGATATCCCACAGGCAATCAATCGTTTTGAGGATTTCTCTATTTCCATCGTTTCTACTCGACAATTGATTCATTAAAATTCAGCTGCAATCGATTGAAAACACGGCAGTTGACTCTCTCACGGCTGGCACAAAGACAACATTTATTAAATCTTTTAAAAGAAAATCTAGTTATTAATGAAAAAAATATAAAAAAATAACAACATTTGTTACAATTAATCAACCGATAAATTCTCAAGTTCTTTTCAATCATAAAATATCTACCGATTGACAGGATTGTTTATATCTTTTACAAATTTTATTAAAAACTTTTACAATCAATAAATTCATGGAGGTAGGACTGGAAATCAAGGTATTTTACATTAAATTTACAAAAATTTCTTTCAGCATTATAGTACGTACTAAGACAGAATGTATTAATTTTAAGGTTTCAACTGTTTTCTATTCCTAAGAAAAAATAGTATTATTGATTACGGGAGTATGACTTACAGTTATTTCTTCATTATTATTTTTTCAATCGATAGAATCACGTGGTGGAAGGAGTGAGATTTGATAACGATCTGTGGAGAGCCGGCCATTGGCCTCAATTGTATCCAATCAAGTTTTTTCCGTGACGTCAACGTCTTCGATTTTCAACTGCACGATTTTTACTTTATTAACGGTCAAGGGGATGCAAACCTTCAAATTTTCAATATTTTATCTATCACATTTGTTCAATCAATAAATTTGATTATGTTTACGTCCTCTTGCCCTTTCTAATAGGATTAATCTCTAAAATTACTCATCTAGACAATGCTTACCCGTTTCTTTTTTTTAATATATATTCAATGAATCTTTACTCATTACAACGCATACTGGCTGTGGAATTATCAACACGAGAGAGATTAAATAATGACAATTAGATATAAATTGCGATTGGAATATAGTACAGTGAAATCAGCCGTCGAGTGAATCCAAGTTCGTGATTGCTGAAAATGTGGAATAGAGAAGAGAAACCTTGACCGCTCGATGAGATTTAAATTCTTACAGACTATTTTAACAATTCATTTGTACGTTTTACTTCACTTAATAATCGAATCCACGGGATAAGTGCGAAATTATTGTACCTTCTGGTAAAGCTCTCTTAACAAAATCGGTACTTATCACGCGTTACAATTGACAAATAGTGGAGGATTTTACAGGCCTAGAAATTCATGCGCAGATTCACGAAGACGTTGCGTACATAAACTATTAGCATTTCTCCGGGTTTACTAAGAAATTTTTACCAATGGCCAATTATTAATCGTCATGATCCCTCGATTATTGTACAATGTACAATACTGCTCAATAAAAATTTAACCTTTGGCTACTATCAGCCATTTTTTTTAATATAAAATCCGGCTATTGCGACTTCCCATTACCTCTGATGCGTGGGCGCGTCACGGACTCCAATGCCGGCTCAATGCCCAGCGTCTCCACACAAACCACATTATTTCCATTAAAGAAAAAAAAAACCCCCGCCAATCCAAAAAATATTATCACTCACTCATTCAAGAGCTAACAATCTCCCAAAACCCGAGGCAAAATACCAGACACGCCATCAACCGATGCTGATGCTATTGGATTCTCTCTCAACAGTAACGCTGTTTTGCTATGAATGATATTTTCAACCCCTCGTTGGCGGCAACGCGCGTCTGCCATTTTGTCTCGAGCACGTTCTCGATTAAATTTCGAATAATCTTTTATGACGAAAGAAATTGAATGATCCAAGAGACAAAATATCCCGAGAGGAAATATCAAGACGAAAAAATAGAATAAGAAGGAATGGGAATTGAAGTGAAAGTCTTACCTGTCTTCCTGAGAATCCTGGCCATTTTCCGTGGCGTCACCGCCGCCACCACCGCTGCCATTTTCCGCCTCGCCGTTCTGCTCAAATGACTGGTCGGCGATGTCCTCGCTGAAGTCCTTATTCTCCTGATCGGCCATTATTCAATTTTTTATTTTATTAAACAAATTAATTTTACTATTTCTCAGCTAATAGCGAGATTATTCGCGAATTTTTTAATTTTCTAATTCACTTGGCTCGATCAATTAGGTTTACAAATACTGCTTTTTTTTTTTCTTTCAACTAGTCGTTAAAAAAACGATTAATTTATGAAAATGAATGACTGTAGAGACGCGGAACTGAGATGAATAATAAATAGACGTCCGTACGCCTCGGCTGCCGAATGGAGAAGGAAGGCTAAAAGCTAGCCCAGTACCACACCATCAGTGGCTTCCACATTCACGAGACTTAACGAATCCCATTGCATTGTGGGTGATTTCTCTCTCCCTTCCGGCACTCGCACCAATCAGAGCATGCACGCCAGGGACGACCTGCTCACCCATTAGGCCCCCAAAAATTAAAAAAACACCATCTATTGCTACCATTCCACCACTCGCTAAATTCTGCATTTCCAATATAGATTATTAAAACAATCATGTCTGTACATTTTTTCATTCCCATTGTTCAACATCAACTTCTAATTTTATCTATTTTTCCAGATGGGGCGTGTGGAAAATTCCACCGGAAATTACGCCCAAACAATCAATGCGACTGTCGTAGAATTTTATTTTCCTCAGAAAAATTATTTATAGCTTTTCGTGTGTTGTTGAAGTTTTGGTAGAATTGAGGAATAGTTTGAGCAATTGATTTGAGCTTTTGCGAGGGCCTATAGAAATTTGGACAGTTTGACTGACCGGCAGTGCTTGTGCCAGCCCTGATAAACCGATCGATGAATGTGAATAGCGAGAAGCATGATATTTTTCACTTGGCAAAACTAACGCTAGAGAGCGGTTGTATTTCAGTGTCTAGCCAATGAGATGTTCCAAAATATTAGTGATGAAAAAATTGGGCCAATCGGTGACAAGCCCGCTCTATTTCGTGGCGTCACTTCCCTGGCGGTGGTGTTTTTACGAGAAAATCAATAGAGCGTGGGTTTACGTCCCGCGCGATTTGCCAAATCTGGGAGAGACAATTCCCCTCGCTCATAACCATTTATTATTCTGAAAATGAGATTTTTTTTTTTCAAATTATATCAGTCTCTTGAATGTAAATTTTTGGAAATTATTTATCGGGAATTACTTCCGCTCGCTACGTCCGTCAAGGCTAATAATACTGATATGAGCGTCCTTTCTATTTTTAGTCGCCCTCGAACTTAAAAAATAATGCAACCGTTTTAGTCTAAACCAGCTTTCATTAAAACGTAATTTCGGCCCTAAAATGATTTTTTTGAAACCGGGTTCTACAGCTGAGCAGATGCACCATATGGCCAAGATTCATCAAATTTTGTGGAGAAAAAAAAATATGAAAGCCCAACGGGGACGCATTTCAGAGCAGTAAGTCATAGCTCAATTTTTTCAGCGTACAAATGTTTAAATTTTTGGTTAACAAGAGATACACTATTTTATTTTCCATCTAATCTCATCTATGAAGAGCCCACGGAAAGTAATGAATGGCAATTGTTAATTCTTATCTTCTCACGAATTCGAAGAATTTTTGCACAGTCATAATATAAATAATTGTAGGATCTCAAATTCCAAGATGTTTGGAGGGTTTGCAATAAAATACGTGCAGCAGTTTTCCGCATTGGTCTGAACCTTTGGGATTACTTCAGACCCCTAGACCCCAACAACAATGGCCTCATCTCAGGTATACAGAGCCTGAATTTTCCCGGGTCGATCATTTTCTGTGATTTTCCGTTGAAACTCAACATTTCAGAAACAAAATTTATTGCGGTTTTCACGGGACCTCTACGCCACTGCGTGGGCCTGTCCGACGCAGAGATTACCGATTTAGCTGATTATTTTAGCATTCAAGATGGCAGGATAATCTATCGGCAATTGTGCCAAATTATTCATGACAGCGGTAAAAGGAAATTAAAAGCGAATGTATTGATTTTGGGTATCGGCGGGATTGTCATGATGATAGATACATCTATTTTTAGTCCCCGAGTTCACGGGGAAGCCCATGATAACTGGATTGGAGTGGGAGGAACCCCTGGCTGTCAATCGGTTGAGCTGCTCCGAGCACCGAAAATTGAATCTCATCATAACTCAGATTTCTCTCAACGTCAGAAAAAGAATGCTAGTTCTTAGACCGTATTTTCAGGATTATGAACTAGTAAATCATCAAATCATTCATTGATATATAGCCAACTAAAAGAATATCTGTTTCTTCGCAGATATCGAAAAATACAGGGAGTGTAACAACAGCTCATTTTGGAAGAATTTTGCATTTTTTGGGGATAGTTCTAGCATCAGAAGAATTCAATCTCTTGGTGAAGCGATTCGCTATAGATGGTTACACGCTCAATTACATTGCATTTCTTAAAGCAATCGATGATGCACAAAATTACATGGATGATCACGGAATGCTGCACGTGTCTGGGGTAATTTTTACCCCACAGCCTACCATAAAATATAATCAATCGATCAATATGGAATTTAGGAATTGTTGGATCAATTTCCTGGGCGGATTATTACAGCAGAATTGCCGAAGCTCCCTCGGCCAGAAGTGGGAAGAGTGTCGGCAAGTGAAGCATTTGGAAAGCAATCGGTATTTCATCCGGGATTGAAACGATCGAGGGAGCCAATGCGTTTAATTGAAATTATCGAGCGAATCCAGCAGCATGTCCTGCAACGACGATTGCGTATACGCACATTCCTCGAGGTTTATTCACTTATTTATTTCATTACTACTATTAATGGAAGGACTCGAATAATTATTTATGCACACAGCCGTTTGATGAAATGAATGTGGGCCGAATTACCCCATCTCAATTCCGAAGAGGACTCGACTCCCTTCAAGTTTCATCTTTAGGTCACTTGTATCTCGCAGAACATGAAATAGAAGAGCTAGTAACATTCTATATGGACCCTAATGACACAAAACGAGTCATGTGGAGAGTGTTCGAGGATGATATTAATCATGGTAATCCTCAAAGTATTTTCGCAAGATCTTTTTTCCTGGTTCATAAATCGGGCTCCAGTATTAAATAAAACCATCAACTATTCTTGTGCCAGTGTTCACTGTAAAGGAATTGGACAAATATCCGTGTTTGAAGATCGATCCACCACCTCCCCAGGTAAGAGATCTGGGGAAAGTCGGTCAGAAAGAGTGGCAGGATGTTGGGAAGAGTATGAGAGAAATGTGCGAAGAGACTCTACAAAAAGTTCGATACAGGGTTGATGAGAGAGGCATTTTAATGAAGCAGTTCTTCAAGGATTATGATCGGTGAGAGTCTGAGCTGAGAGTCAGATGAATATAATTGAATAATCATCAAATATTCGCAGATTGAATCACGGACACGTGTCGCGGAGTCAATTGAGGCACATTCTCACCACAGCAACTGTTCTTTTGTCTCAAAAGGAAATTTTCGCTTTAGAGCAGAGGTACTGAATCCCTACATTAATTCATTCAATTCACGCCTTTAATGGTAAACAATTACGTTCTGAAAGATATAACGACGAGATGGGGTTCAATTATGCCCGATTTCTTCGAGAACTCGAAGCTCTACCAGTAACGAGACCGCTTTACGAAGAATTGGTTAGAGAGAAACACCTTTTAAATGCAGTGAAACCATTACCAATTCCTTGTCGAGATGAAAAGGATATAATCCTGGTTATAGGAAAAATTAAAGCTAAAATCGTTCGAGAAAGAGTTAAAGTAAATGTGTACACGGAATGAATAATACACATGACGACTATTCATTAAAAATATTTCTGTGTAGGTAACTGAATTTCTACGTGGTTTCGATCCCCGGAACGAACTTGTTATATCCCGAAGTGATTTCGTAAGGGGTATGGATCAGATTCGCTGTAATCTCACACCCACTGAAATAGAAACCCTAATGGATGTGTTTAAAGCCCCGTTGAGGTAATCAAATCCTCCAGAAAGATATTTTCGTTTTTTAAAGGGAACAATTATTATCATATACTTATCAACAATTCGCAGAGCTGATTGCGTGGACTACGAGAGATTCGGCAATGCTGTCGAAGAAGCCGTCACCATTGGAGCTCTGGAGAAGTCCCCACTGTTGGTGCCTGTGCAGCATGTCCCCTCTGAGGCCACTCTGAAAACGTTTTTAAATTATGAGGAACGACAGACGATCGTGCAGGCCATGGACAAGCTTGCGCGAATTCGAAATCACAACTTGGAAGACGTTTTCAAGGTAAAAGTTGAAAATGTTTGAAAGTTCATATATTTTAGGAGATTTGCTGCACAAGAGAGGAGTGAATATTAATGGATAATGGTCTTTAGGACTTTGATAAGGAAAATATTGGAACAGTCACAAAGGACCAAATGACAAAGGCCCTCTCGGTCCGGAAATTGTTGGAATTATTAACTACGAAGGAAGTGGACACCCTTCACAAATGTTTTTCCATCGAAAGGGGAAGACGTCTCGAGCTCGATTACAGAGCTTTTCTGCGAGCTCTCGAACTCATTCAAGGGAATAAAAAGACGCTACGATTTTAAAATTATGTAAACTGCAAATTTCAATTTTTCCGACATCAGTGCTATCGATCGCGCCAATCACATTCTGCCCATTACAACGTGCAGATCTATTTCTAGAAAAACATGACACGTGACTGTTATGCACATATCATAATTGCCAACACGCGCCTAATGAGCGTTCCTATTATTTATTTATTGATAGAAAAATTTTTTGAGTGTCATCAATATTGCCGATGGAGTGATGGAAGAGATGGAGCAGACGGAAGATCGACCTTTTTCATAATTTCGTGTAAACATGTAGAATGGGGCAAAATGAATAATGCACTTTATATTTTAAATGTCTCCTATTCTTATGTTATTTTAATAAAAAATGGATTGTTTCAATTCTGCAAAACTTCCTCGATACTCCTGCTCTCCTGATACTTGTTCAAAAATTTTGAATATTACAATTTCAGTGAATACCTCCTCGATTGTCATGCTCTCCTGATACTTTTTCCAAAATTTCAAATTTTCGAATTTCAGTGAATACCTCCTCGATTGTCATGCTCTCCTGATACTTTTTCGAAAATTTCAAATTTTCGAATTTCAGTGAATACCTCCTCGATTGTCATGCACTCCTGATAATTTTTCAAAAATTTCGAATTTTTCAATTTCAGTGAATACCTATTCGATTGTCATGCTCTCCTGATACTTTTTCAAAAATTTCAAATTTTCGAATTTCAGTGAATACCTCCTCGATTGTCATGCTCCCCTGATACTTTTTCAAAAATTTGGAATTTTTCAATTTCAGTGAATACCTGCTCGATTGTGATGCTCTCCTAATACTTTTTCAAAAATTTCAAATTTTCGAATTTCAGTGGATACCTGCTCGATTGTTATGCTCTCCTGACACTTTTTCAAAAATTTCAAATTTTCGAATTTCAGTGAATACCTGCTCGATTGTCATACTCTCCTGACACTTTTTCAAAAATTTCAAATTTTCGAATTTCAGTGAATACCTGCTCGATTGTCATATTCGCCTGATACTTTTTTCTAAAATTCTGCATTCTCACATTTGGGGAAATACCTCTCTGATCATCATGTTTTCCTGATACTTTTTAGAAAATTTCGAATTTTTATGCTTTTTTTAAAAACGGAACGAATACCTCACCGCCACCTAGCAGTAGGAAAAAAAATCTAGATATCCTGTTTATCGACAACTGTATAATTTGAACTCAACAATAGTATTACTTCTTTCAAATGCGACAGATGACGCGGGATGTTCTCTTGAAATGAATCTTAGTATTAATCATTTCAAGAAAAAATCTTGCAAAATGACAGTTGCATGGTGAATTTTTTGCAGTCCCCAAAAAGAAGAAACAATCAAAAATCATTTACTGTATTTTTTCCAATGGATCTGATTTTTTAATTATGAATTTACTAGATGATATATCTCCACGAAAACCGCTGATGTCGTTTGAAAAGCAATTAAATTTATCAATCGGGAGACTTTCCATCGCAATCACTTGGAAATTGATGATTATTAGAATTATTGGCGCCCCCGTATGTCTAGTCGGATAATTTTAGCTCGTCAGGTGCGATGAGACATAATTTCTCGTATAGATGGGTATTAGATTTTTGCAAGAACCCCCACTTGGTTTCTCTAAAGCTTCGATGCATGAATGAACCGCACGTGTTGTGCCTTTCAATTATGTAACTGCAGATATATGAGTTGATGGAGAATTATCCGCTTAGGCAAGATAGCCATCAATTATTACTGTCGAGTAATTTCTACGGAAAAAGGTGCTCGCACTGAACGTCCCCTCCTGGTCCACATCCGTCTCATTGAGAGTCATGCGGACTGACCAACAAAAATTAAATAAAAAATGAAGATGTACAGTTATGCGCGATCTAATTAGAATGCATTGGCGATGTAATATTGGGGATGCTGAATAAGAGCCAAGATGGCCGAAGAGGGGTTGTTCCGAATATAAGTCGAGAGTTTTAACCCACTTTTCATCCTCAGAAGACGGTCGAGAGGACTGAAGCTGAAATATATTTCATATTATTGAGTAAAAATGAAGAGAATCTCTCTCACTGACTAAAATGTTTTTTTACGCGAATCCCACTATGGCATGTATCAAAATCTATTTGAGCAAGGGATTAGGAATTTTCATGGGCCTAGGTCCTCGCAGAAAATAAAGATCAACGATGATGATGAAGGACATACATACGTAAGGACATACGAAAGTATGAATAGCAATAGGGAATGATTAAAATTTCTCCGTCTGGGGGTCACGAAATAAATTATATCAGAATTTTCAATCTTGTTGGAAATAAATGATATAATGATATATTTGCCTCATTGACTGGTATTTTATTTGCTTGTAAAATACTAAAGCGTTTTTTAGTTGGAGGCAGGCGTCCTACTCCAGTCAATGAGCTACCCTTCTACAACCGAGTTAACGATGTCTACACGTATTTTCACCATATCCAGTTACCACATCGCCCTTTTCAGTAACACGTGTCCATTGTTAATGCAGAAGTACTTCACCTGACACGTGTCATTTTTTTTTTCTGAAACTCGGCTATACCAGGCTTGACTTTTTGACACCATTGCTCGGGATTAAATTCAAGTGGTTGTTCGTTCAAATGCGGAGTTGGAATGAATTCAGCAATTATTATTTTATCAATTTAACTTTTCAACTTTTAATTCGGACGGGAATCGTCAAGGTCGGATTGTATCAGTGCGATGTTTTTTTTTTTCCTATGGCCAATTTAAATGTTCATGACGTTGACAATTTCTCTTTTCGTTTTGTTCGGTCACTCCTGAACGCACGCAAATTCACCATCACGATTCTCTAAAAATACTTATACGGTTTAGGGATTGACCGAATAATGTGGTCATATAAATTTGAAATTGTTCGATCCTTTGATGATTCGTTTCTCATGACAATTTCTGCAATTCATCCCCAAGAGATTGAACTGCTGACCTTGATATGACCTCCATCAACGATTCCGGAGTGGGAAATTGAGAGGAAAATGAATTGATATGAAAGGAAATTCATGACAACCCACCGGAATCTGATCGGATCATAGGAAATCCTAATCTTCTGTTTAGTTATTTGCCATGTAGTTGCACTCTCGTTGATCCCCGTGACCGGGGTCTGAGGCAAGATAACGCACCTTATCAGTGTTATCATGTAGCGACAAGTGGCGCCATCATATTGAATGGACATTGAGCGCAGACGCCTTCTTCGGAGGGTGGTAGTCCCCGCCTTTCGTCGCTCGAAATCTCCTAAATGTTGGGTAAATTTGCGTGGGAGAGAGGGAGGGGGTAGCATGACGATGAGGACGCACCCCCTGTTTTAACGTTGGTGACGTAACAGAGCGCCGAATCAATAGCAACCCCCGCTCGTGGATTCCCTCTGGCGGTCCTCGGCCACGGGACGAGTGAGACAACCCAAGTGCCTTCAGTGCGGGGAGGCCGCCGCGACGCTAGGGAGTGCATAGGGCACCGCTCCAAACATCCGAAAATTCATCAACCCTCAACATACACCCAGCGTTTAAATTATTTTTACCTCACAATTTTTTCAATTTCTCAAGGCAAAATTCCTGTCGAGTTAACACTTTGTTCAAATACTAATGAGTTGAAAAATCGTGACCGAACAAATCATTGTGACTCTCCAAGTCCCAAGATAATGATCTCTCCAAAAGTAAGTACCTTTGAATATTCATAATCCATTAGGTTTTTTTTTTGTTCGACATTCGCTTGGATCGGTGTAGGTGCATGCTCGTACGGGAATCGATACGATTGCCGGTACATACGTAAGGTCAGGGAAACGTCCTGATTTCGTTATTAATCCTTTTGAGAAGACCTCCTGAATTTTGCAAAGAGGATTAATTCATGTCGAGTAGTCATAAAGTGAGTTGATTATAAAATGTGTCGTGCAGTGATGATTATCAACCCCCACCCCAGACGAGGTCCGACGGGTGTTGAACAAGGCGATCAAGCGATAACATCCCATCGCATTAAGATTAATAGCTAGCCTCATAACATCGACTTTATTAGCAAGGTGATGGTTGAATGCCGTTGATTTTCAGGAAGCTGATGACACCATAAAATTGCGTGGTGTACGACTATCCGATCGGGTCTAGTAATAAAGAAGTGTGATCTGATCGAGTTGATAAGATAGATAAAAAGTAGGTGTGTAAGTAGGAGCAGTGAGTTGGGTGGAAATCGATGGCCATCAGAGCCCATGGGCGGCCTCGCGTTTAGGACAAGGAATAGCCCCTCCCAGAAGACCTCGCTCAGGTGGGGCGATTGCTGCCCACCTAATCCACCGTTATCATCGGCCGTCCTGAAGGGCCGTCATCAGGATATGCCGCCAGTACCCGTGTGAGGCTGTCCCCCCCTGTTGCGTGACTGTACCCCGCGGGGTCTTGAGAGGTACTTAAAAAAAAAAACATCCACCGAAAATACCCACAGCTAATGATCACCTTAAAATTAGGTTTTCAAACGTTGAAAAATCCGACCGGTTACCGAACCTCTCGGATCTCCATATACACCAGCTTGAATTAACACCAGTCGATCTCTCCTCACCGAAGATGATCAACGTAGCTGGTGTGATATCAATCGGGCTGTTTTATGTCCTAATATTGGGTGTTGGAATATGGGCAGCGAGAAAAAAAGAAGCTGGCAACGACTCCGAGGAGGAGGTGATGCTGGCAGGTCGCTCCATCGGCCTCTTCGTTGGCATATTCACCATGACAGCAACGTGGGTTGGCGGTGGTTATATTAATGGCACCGCCGAGATCATCTATACCAAGGGGCTTATATGGTGTCAAGCGCCATTCGGTTATGCCATGAGCCTCGTCTTCGGTAATTCCATTTAATATTGGATCATTAATTAATTAAAAAAAAAGCTCAATCCAATTTGATCCTAATGGCTAATATACCCTCAGGTGGTATATTCTTTGCCAACAAGATGCGACAGCAGGGGTACATCACGATGTTGGATCCTCTTCAGGATGCCTTTGGAGAACGTATGGGTGGACTACTATTCCTACCAGCACTTTGCGGCGAAGTGTTCTGGGCAGCCGGTATTCTGGCTGCTCTTGGTGCCACAATAGCTGTTATCATCGATATGGAGCACGGCCATTCCATTATATTTAGCGCCTGCATCGCTGTCTTCTATACGCTCTTTGGCGGCCTCTACTCCGTAGCTTACACCGATGTCATCCAGCTTTTCTGCATCTTCGTAGGACTCGTAAGTCACATTTACTACAACTTCAATCAGTTCATTCAAAGTTATTCTTAAGGAATCCTTGTCAATTCTTAAGGCACGTGCCAAGAATTATAATCTAATAATCCATGAAATCGTGACTAGGCTAGGCAATTCGCCCCCTTTATGAGAGCAACAGAAAACCGTACAAGTCACTCAATTTCGTCTCGCCCTTTTCAATCTCCCCCATTCGATTGAGCTTCTCTCAATAGCTGTTCTAATGTCCCAATGTCCCTAATAATCTAAGTGATGGAGAATTCTGAATAGATTGGCGTGCCTAATGAGAATTAACTAACTGTTGGCTGATAGTGGCTGTGTATTCCCTTTGCTTGGATGAATCCATTGGTCCAGCCATTGAGCTCCCTCGAGGTCGATTGGATTGGCCATGTTAATCCAAACGAGTGGTGGTATTATCTCGACTACGGACTGCTTCTTATCTTCGGTGGTATACCGTGGCAGGTGTATTTCCAGCGAGTGCTCTCATCCAAAACAGCCGGAAGAGCACAATTGCTGAGTTACGTAGCAGCAGCTGGATGTATCCTCATGGCAATACCACCAGTTCTCATTGGAGCTATTGCCAAGGGAGCTGGTACGTACTATTTTTCATGAATATTTTATATAATTAATCCTAACAGAGGAGATATACAAGAATGCATGAGCACTGTGACCTTGTGCCATCTATTAATTTTCCCCGGGCCCTCTCTGCTAATTCCTTTAGAGAGAAATTCGCGCATTTATGAGTTATTATTCGGCCGTTTGAAATGGGATGGGGTGTCTCTTCATTGGAGGAGCCGTGGGGGATTGAATTAGAGCCCCCTCGAGCCTGGGATGAAAAAGAAGGGCGGAGGTGAGCGTCCATTTCTCCCACTCCCACTATTTCCACCCTGTCTCCTTTATAGCTATGGGCTACTTGACATTTCGTTTGGAAAGCGAAACGGGCGGGATGCTGCCCGCTGGTGGTATTTACATCGTCAAAAGGAAGAGGGGCAGAGGGAAGGGGGGCAAGAGGAATTGGAATCGACAAGGGTGTAACCCACCCCCAACAGAAGAATACAATACCGTGAGATTCTGAACATGTGGCTATGGAGCGTTCGAGGGGGAATAACGGTGGTGTAGTAATACGACTCGGGCAAACGTAAATACACCAACTTGTATTGGTATTTGATGTTGTGCCTCGTATATGCCTCGGGCTTGTTTTCTTAACGTAACTCACCCCCTGATGAATGAAATTCCACTCGTGTGTGTTGCAGCTTGGAATATGACAGACTATCAGGGCCCATGGCCACTCGAAGAAGCCCAAACCAGTATGATCCTGCCAATGGTGTTGCAGTACTTGACACCTGATTTTGTTTCGTTTTTTGGTCTCGGTGCAGTATCAGCAGCTGTAATGTCATCGGCTGACAGTAGTATTCTCTCAGCGAGTTCTATGTTCGCGAGAAATGTTTATAAGCTCATATTCAGACAGCGGGTAAGTGATGGGATATTTTTAGGTGCGGCGAACGGATTGGCTTTGTCGATTTGATTTAACTTAATGAATGAATTGTTTGGTTGGTGATTGATGAACAGGCCTCAGAGATGGAGATTATTTGGGTGATGCGGGTGGGCATTGGCGTGGTAGGTATCCTGAGTACAGCAATGGCCCTGACTGTACCATCAATTTATGGGCTTTGGTCGATGTGCTCAGATCTTGTATACGTCATACTATTTCCACAACTGCTGATGGTGGTGCACTTCAAAGACTACTGCAATACGTATGGCAGTCTATCGGCATACATAATAGCAATGATTGTTAGATTAAGTGGTGGTGAGGCAGTGATAGGTCTTCCCGCATTAATACACTTTCCGGGTTATGATGAAGAGACACAAGTTCAGATGTTTCCATTTAGAACAATGGCAATGCTGATATCACTCGTAACGCTTATCGGCGTGTCTCATGTGACTCATGTGGCCTTTATGACCGGTAGATGGGCACCAGGTTATGATATTTTCAGGTGTGTTGTCAATATACCTGAGGATGTTGAACGGGTTGGCCCGGATCCGGCTGAAGGTGAACAGATGGCTGTTCTTGCTGCTGGAGCTGGAAGGCTCTATGGTAGTAAGGACGAATCTAACGGACGAGTTAATCCAGCGCTCGAGCCGGACTATGACATGGAACCAGGTTGTGATGGGGTGCAGGCTGTGACGGGGGGTGCAGGATTAATTGCTGGTGGTGGGGGTGGCATAGGTGGTCATCCCGGGCCAGTTGGCAGTGGTTCTGTACGTCAGTCCCAGAATAGTACTGCCCTCTAAAGTAAATCCGGTTCCGTGATCACAAGCTGTGACCAACAATAAGTGCGGTAGCGCGGTTGTTATCTGATAAATATGTTATTTAATCTCCCTCATTTTTATTTTTCTACCTCTCTCACATTCATATCGCTGTATACTTTTGGTGGATTTCGTTCTGTTACTGACCAACGTTACCATTGATCTCTCATTGGAGATCCCTCTGTTCATAAATTTCTATTATATTTTTGGGCTGATATTGAGGAGCTCCATGTGGAGTCAAGATCGAACGGCTGAGGGATGTGATACCAATATTTATCATTCTCTGAGCTGTACGGCAATGACTCTTTCCGCTCATTATGGCAATAATCTGTGCTCGTTGATTAATCAACTTGCCGGCGAATTGTTCATCTTCGGACTATTGTAGACTCTCTCATTCAGTTCTCACAAAAATGGGATACACCGCGCTACCAATTAGGCCTAGTGATCTCCTTGTTTTATTTTTTGAGATATATATTATACACTTACACACAGTGAAGAATAATGTATATATTTAGAGTCTACTAATCAAGCTTGAGAAGAATTAATTATATATGGAATCTGATGAAAATCGATTCATTCGATCCTCAATAATTCTCCGGTGGCCTTTTATAGAGTGAATACCGGAGTGTACGCCATTATTGATTGCATAATGAATGAGGGCTCGGTATTATAAAAAAGTTAGGGGGTTGATGAAGTGAATTAGCTCAGCTACAATTCAAAAGGTGCATAAACATATATTATACAATGATAACGATGTTGAAAAAAAAAACGCGAATGTTAGTTAGATTATACTACGGAAAGCTTTTGTACTGGCAAATTGAAAAATGTTCTTCCCTGTAGAGACGTTCTCCTGAGACCCAGCTTGGCAGTTCCCTTATGGTTCTGATGTAAAATGATTAGAAAGAGCTGTCCTTCATCATGAAATCGATATATCGAATGGCGATTTACGGTGCCATCTGATGAATGAATCGATTGACGTGTGGATCAGTTGTGTTTATGATATAGTATATCAAATCTCTGAGTTATGTTGGGGAATTTATGTAGTTTGTAGAAGGAATGAGGGGTGAGTATGAAAACCATCGCGGAGATAGAAACCGAGGTAGAAAAAATTTGGCTGACTGACTGGCTTCAGTTTAGCCACGTGTACGCGTACCTTAAGCATATAATGTATATAGTTACGATGTATACATATATGCATTACTGTAAACATATCTACGAAAAGACTACCTGACGTACGTGCATAGGGTAGGCTACTGGTATTTATTAATAATCAACTATAGATTCTACTCAAGAAAATATCATCGTTGTTACCTTCATCCTTGTTGTTACTTTTAGTTTGATCATTGTCACCTTGACAAAACAATAAAGTACTAGTGTTACAATGTGTTTTTCTTCATTTTTTTTTCGAATTTTCGGAAAGTACTTGAAAGTATTTCCTATAACCGACGCTAAGGGAGTCGTCAAAACTGTTGACAGTCTAGGAACAATTATGTTCTTCATTGGATTCTCAATAATTCCACGACTGTTTTTTTTTTTCAAAGTCAACGGATTTATTCAAATTCATTGATGGATAATTATTGGGAATTTAGCCTTAAGGGGAACGTGCAAATGCAAAGTTTTTGATAATTCACAGAAGGAATAAAGGTATGTGAGGAATTGTCCAGAATATATATTCCAGGAGGAAGTATTATTATATCGTGCGCTCATTGTAATTATAGTGAAGTGACAGGTGGAGACAAAGTGAAACTTCTGTGAGAGAATAGGTGGGAATATTTGCACTGTTTATGATTTTACAGGTTGATCGCAGGCATGATTATTACGTGCAATACTTTCACCACTTATTGTCAGTCTAATCATTGTACATTGACCATTACCCTCGAATTTCAACATCATTGTTCATTATTTAATTAGCCCTCATTATGTATAATTATTTAAAGATACTAAGTCTTGGCAGAATGTTCGCACTGTCTCCGCGTAGTCACTTTGTGAGATTATTTTTCATCAAGTGATTGAAAAAATAATAATGGTGATAATTCGTCCTTTCACTGATCAGGACGCGAATAGTCTTTTTACGCGTGGAAATACAGAGAAAGGTAACGAGAATGAAGGGGAATTATAAAAATAATATGATGGTGATGTATTAATGGAGAGCGCAATTATCTATACATATCAGATATCACAAAATTGTGATTGATCGTCATTGAACATATCACAAGTGTGCTCTAATATATATATCTATATATTGGATACATATCTAATGCGAAGATGTTGAGGCACATCCTGAGGGTGGAATATTATTTTCTTATTTTATTTGATCCACCACCCTGTTTAGCAACGAGACTAAGGGCTGCCTCCGCCGAATAACGAAAAAACGAGAAACCAAGTATTTAATGGATATAATTAAAGAGGAAAATTGCTTTCGAATACCTGCTGAGGGCTGGTAGCGAGCCCCGACGACAATTACTCATTAACTATTTAGTTTCAAATAGTAAAGATAATACTACAGGAGGATATAGAGTAAGTGTTGAACAAGGGGCTCGAAGTCGAAGTCAACTCATGTATCCTAAATGTTACAATTGAAAAGCTGTAATGTAAAAAACCAAAGCCATAAGGCAAAACCTAAAATACCATATATGTGTATATTAATATGTATAATTGAAGGAGAGGTGGATACGTTGATTGTAAATGTTACGAATAAACGGTGTATAAAAAATCACTAATTATATTTTTGATTCTCGGTCAATCTCCAGAAATTCTACATAAATTCGAAAATTTCAGAGATAACTCCCAATATACTACCAATATATATACGATATTAGTATTTTAGCTGGATACCGAGTACTGAAAACACCTCTCAGTTATTCATGCGTCCCCGGTATCCGAGGTGTACTAATCGATAAATCGACCGACCGTCAACGCCGGCCGAGTAACCTTATCTACCAAAGACTAAACCCCAATATTTTTCTCTTTTCTCTCAATTCCTGTGATATCCTAGGCCAATGTACTAATATGTTCCTCCCATTTCCATTCAAATAAATTTCACGTTTTATTCCTGAAAACCTTAAAAAATGACGAATACCATTAATAAAAAAATCAATTTCCATAATTCTTTCAGCGGTCAACATTTTTATTAGTACAAAAAAGCATCTTTACAAAATAAATAAATTACAGGCAAGACGCCTGCTCTGATATTCATTCTATTATTCAGTTTTCCATATCTCAATTTCAATTTCCATTTTTTCGAGTGAAATAGATCTCCGGAGAAGAGCGATGTTATTCATCAGGTTAATTTTTTCAGAAGTTGAAAAATCTAGCCTGAGGATTGTCTGTCGTTATCACTCCGACAGTTCTTCTATTTTCTCATTCATCAATGAACTCAGAGAATGAGAGAAGAAAGTAAATAATTATTGACAAATACGTGACCACGTGGTTTTTCATGTGGATATCGAGTGAAGCAAGTTGGAGGTCAGTATGACTCGCTTCACCACATGAACGTTCCGGGATATTAGTACTGATAGCCACCGTTGCTGGCATAGCCTTGTCCACCACCGCCACCCCCGCCGCTTGATGGTGCCCCATAGGAAGATGATGGTGCACTGTATGATCCTGACGAGCCACCGCTGCTTCTGGAAAAGAATGTTAATGAGCTAGGTGAGTTATTTTTACAGGCATGCGGGCTGTGAAGGTCAGGCTGCATTTGTCACGCTATTACAGGCCTAGTTATGCATGAATGATCAATCACGTTGTGCATTAAATGAACAAGGTCACGTCTGGGTATGAATAGACCGAGTATGGACTCGAGAAAGCTTACCCGCCACTGTAACCACCACCGAATCCACCAATTGAGGGAGCTCCATAATTCTGAGATGGCCTCGATGGGGCACCATAGCTTTGGGATGGTCCACCACCCCCGAAACCACCTGAAACACCCAAATCACCCATTCAACTCATTCTTCCTGGATTTTATTTATCATATTAATAAAAATTTTAACCGCCAAATCCACCGGATGAAGGAGCTCCGTAGGTGGAAGAGGGCCTTGAGCCGCCACCGCTGTAACCACCTGGAGAAAATGGAATACGTAAAGAGGATGTACGACTCAAGTGTCTCTGTTGGTCTGAATTATTAGTGACCTACCTCCGAATCCTCCGGATCCACCGAATGACGGTGCACCGTAGCTAGATGAGGGCCTAGAGCCACCACCACCGAAACCACCTGCAATAAAGCGGGACGAATTGACGAATAATTTATTTATTCATTAGTGCCGTGACACGGAGGAACAAAAATAGTATATTCTACCTCCAAATCCACCGGAGGTAGGTGCCCCGTAGTTAGACGAGGGTCTTGAGGCACCACCACTGTAGCCACCTGAGTGGAATGATTGATTTGATAGTGATGACTGATTTATTCACGTATCTAGCAGGATAGAAAATAAAAAAAAAATTATATAAATGTATACTACCTCCAAATCCACCGGATGAAGGAGCACCGTAACTAGATGAGGGCCTGGAGGCACCCCCACCAAAACCGCCTGTAACAAATGACATAAATCAGCTTCCAGCCATCCGAAATATCTTGTCAAAAACACGAATGACTATTTCACCTCCGAATCCACCAGATCCTCCAGGAGCACCGTAATTGGAAGAGGGCCTGGAAGGAGCACCATAATTCGGAGAGGGAGCACCGTAGGTAGAGGATGGAGCTGAGTAACCACCCCCTCCGAATCCTCCAGAGCTTGAACCCCCTCCGAATCCTCCGGAGCTTGAACCCCCTCCAAATCCAGGTGCTCCATAGCTAGATGAGGGCCGACCGCCGCCAAAGTTTCCACCACCGAAACTACCTCCCCCGGAGGGAGCTCCATACGAAGAAGATGGTCCACCACCACCTCCACCTCCTCCTCCTAATAGATTTGGAGTTCCATAGCTAGTCGATGGTGGCAAATAGCCGACTGGTGCTAGAAGAATCATCATCGTGAGAATTTTCGCTTCTAAAACTTTCACCTGTTGCTATAGACGACTCCAATACTCCTGTCACGTAAATTTATCCTCCACTGAGGATCAGTGAATCTTCGGATAACGGGTATTGAATGAAGAAAAGATCTTTGCAAGACTCGTGAAAGTGTAGACGAACGTGAAAAAAAGGGAAAATATTTACCTATCGTGAATTGTAAAGATTTGATATTGACAGGTGTAAAGCCATCTACTCGATTTTTCCGCGTTGTCATTATAAACTTTAACTATTAGCCGATAAATTTGCACGCATAAGTAGCTTTGTATTACTTGGGGTCATGTGTTTCTCTTGTAGACCTTGCAGAATAAACACGGAGCGGTATAGGAAGCAACGGATCGTTGAACTTCACCTGACCTTTTGCCGGTTAAAGGAAGATGCAATTTATTGTAGAATCATCTCAAGTAATGCTAACACCTTGACCGTGACTTTCCAACTGTTCTCACTCAACTAGTTACATTAATGAATAATAAATCGAATTCTTCACTATAATAAATACGTTAAAGTTGTAGAGTTGTTGACTTGATTAGAAAGTTGGCGTTGTTAGGGCTAAATGTAGATTACGCGTAGTCATAAATTACCCACTATTCTACGATGCACTTTACTTTTTTGACAAGCTGTGTTCACGGTTATAAAACAATTCCGCTAAATCTTGGCGAATTTATGGCTAATGCAAAATGCAAATTTCTCTTATTCAAGACTCATTAGAAAGAACATGTACTTACGTTCAGCATAACAAGGCACAACAAGTGCGGTCGTAAGAACCGCAACGGCAAGATGTGCCCATCTTCCCATGATTCTCATGATTGACACTGATTTCTTTCCAAATAATTAGCCACAAAAACTCGCGCAATTTGTCCAAAGTCGAGGAACGATGGACTTCAACTGTGAGATTAAACTGAAATGTCCAGATATCGAGGTCCGCTGAAACACACGTTTCAGATCCACGATTAGCTCTAACGTGCTTCAAAGAACCGCGGATTCAGTCTTATATAGTTGACCGTCGTTTTGGAGAAAGTCTTGAGGAGGTGCAAAGGAGGATGTACCCAGGTAAATGAAGAAGAAGGAGGCATTATATTACGGAGTGGGGAGGATCAAACAGTAGAATGCCCAGGGATTTGTATCGTAAATTGAGTGAATGGTGGGTTGTACGAACGCAGGACCCCCGATGAAGATGCGACTGACCTTGGCTCACCGTTTTTTTCAAAGTTGATTCTTACTGCAAGTTTTGCTACAATTCTTTGTTACATTATTCCCTCCGGGGAATGGCCATCAGCCTTGCTTTCTACATTCGCTTCCAGATAAAAAATATTGAAAAAAGTGTTGACGACATCCTGCCATCACTTCAATACAATATTTCTTATTTAAGGATAAAATCCATTTAGAGCGGAAAATTATGCATTTACTCGTTTTTTTTTAACGTAAAACACGAGAGAAACTTAAAAATCAAATGGCCGTCTGGTAATTCGATGTACACTGAGAAAAAAAAATTCTTTTGCCAAGAATATATTCTTCTCACCAGTAAATCATGCAACCACTGTATAAATACTCCTATAAGATTTACTAGTGCCAAATATATTTTCTTGTGATTAGTAAATATTCTTGGCAAAAGAATTTTTATTTCTCAGTGTATTGTTCATTTGTAAAATATAGAGTACTGAAACGGCGTTGGGGTTTTCAATTAATAGCACGACCAAATGATAATCTTCTAAAGTTCAACTGTGCTAGCGACCGCAGTTGAAGACAATCCGCCACATCGAAATGGTTCGACATCACCGTAAAAATAGGATAAAACCGCAGCGCAATTGAAATATTCACCGAGTGACGTAGGACTGGCAGTAATAATAAATATTCGCCCCAGATTTGTATCCAACAATGCATCATCAGAGATGGCACATTAATTGCTCTTACAATCCAATAACAATGACGCTGTCACGTTCATCATTGAGGAGCTTCATCTATTTCCATGGAATGAATCCTCTGGCTTAGGTCATCCCCCATTATTCATTAAATGCCACAATCTTTTGTCACCGCGTTAGGTCATTTACCATTGGGTCAGTTGATATCACTTTACATCACCCACACCGTGTCGTAAAAACAAACATAAAATTGAATTGACCAATAAAATTCCGGAACAATCCGCTACGCTGTGACTTTCTTCGGACTCTAATCTCCTGTAATTACAGAAAAAAAAAACAATTCCTTCCGTTTTCGTCTTCAACTTGAAGCGAAGCCACTGTACATCGATGAAGTGGAATTATAACTTGTAGTATAATAGAAACTACAGAGAGAAGGCAGATTTAAAAGGCGAAAGTCAAGCATCAGAAGTCTTATCTGTCGCATACAATTCCAACAAAATGTAAGGGAAAACAATTTTTAGTGACGAATATCGAAGACTCTCAACCCGATTTTCAGTTCATGACGAAATCTAAAAGTAGGGGATTATTTAGTATTGTGTATGAGAGATAGGGTATCTTCGACTTGCCCCAGATAATTAATATCTGCACTCCATCAGTTTTTCTTAGACGTCGTGCCTCGATCGCGCCTCTATAGTTGCTTCATTCCGTGGACTAATTGATTTAAGGGATTATTATTGCCGGCTGAATGCTACTAAGGTGTAGGTGGTATTGCTCAATGCATCATTTTCTTCTCTACGTGATGGTATATTTTTTTTTTTTTTTTCAAAATAGAAATGAATAACTGATTGTGATTAATAATGAAGCTTGTGGCTCGGGAAAGTGGAAAAACGAAAGCCTACAGAGAACAATCAGCAAATTAGCATAGAACAATGACTGCTCCTGTGTGATAATGATGAGGAATAATGCACGTTGCGGCTTGTGATCAAAAAGATCACGAGTCTAACGCTCAGGTGCAGCCAGTGGAAATGTTTATTCACATTCGGAATTTTATCGATTTTTTTTTTCACTCATCAGCCAAATCATCGATCTCCCAATTGCGGAATAACGAAACCCCTGTAATTTCGTAATTTTTCATGTATTCGCGTACTTAACACTGCGCGGAATCTGAAGCAAAAGATTTATCGGAGTTACATTCACTCTCGGGCTATCCAATGCCAATCGGGGAAAAAAATCAAAATGTCAAACTTTAAATTACAATTTTGCGATAATCTCAAAAAATACTATTTCGCAATTATAAATATAATACGAAAATATCGTTAATCCTACAAGCATTCATGGACGCCAATGAATAGCTGATGCATCACGCCATGAGAATTGATGATTATTCGTTTGTACACTTGGGAGAGAAAAGAGATGAATAATAACCAACTTATATCCTATTCATCAGCGGTATAATATACCCTCCAATAAACGCGCTGTGATGAAATGCAAAATTACTTTTTTTTTATTATCCGGTTTCATTGAATGAACATTGAAGAATTCTACGGAGAATAATTTCGTTGTGAAATTTCGAATATTTGAGAGGATATATTTGTTATAGTTGAAAATACAGAAATAATTATCAATATCATCAGAATTGCTCTGAGTCCAAGTGCATAAATTCAATTGAATCACATTTCGCATCGTGAAATGGTTAAATTGCGTAACGAACCCTCTGGTACTACCGCCACTAGAAGATAATAGCCTAGTGGAACTGAATTAACGAAGCCTTTCCTTCCATATACGCGTGTCTTGAGCAAAACTGAGCTCTCGGATAACTCGTTGCCACTGTTTCCCCCTTTGTCTTGGCATATATTTTTTTTTCTCCAGAAATTGCCCAAGGTATTTCCTCTTTCATACAACATCTTCTTTTACAATGCACAAGTACAGAACAGAGGCTGTTTCTCCACGTGACAGAACCGACTAATTGGACGTATGCGAATATTTTAATCTCTCGAGGCATCTTTATTTACGATATCTTGATAAAGAATTTGCATAAATGATGTGTATTTTTTTCACGAGTTTTTGGAATGTTGAGCAAGATGAGATGTCGACGAAGGTCGGATACGGTGATTTTTAATAGATTAGGGGTTTTACATCGGGAGCGAGACGTCTGCACGTTTCGTTCTCACAAAAACGAGGAAAGTCTTCTCCGAGTAAAATCCGTAGCCTTGAATGTGCCTTCAACGATGGCAAAGTGGAGCATTGTTATTCAAGCCCTTCAAGCGTACAATGAACGATAAAAAGCAGAACGACGGAACGAAAAGTATTTTGCAAATATTCGTTAAATCACGGATGAAGAAATAGTATGTTAATTAATAATTCATTCAATGAGTAATTAAATTGATGAAAAATAATTCGGGAATGGGATTAGCGAGTAATGTAAGAGCATCGTGTAGATGTGGGTCGACTGAAAATGCAATTCCCTGGTTACACCCTGAGGGCAACCGAGAGAATCCACTCGAGCAGCGAACCATTCTTGTCATTACGTCAGTCCTTTCATTACGTGTATGGATATTTCAAGTGTAAGAGTCTTGTTATGCCTTCCGATAATTTTTTTTTTTTTTCTTCAAATTCAACTTGACGCGCTGATAATGAAAGGAAATATTGAAGAGGGGAGATTCGACACAGACAGAAGAGGTATCTCTGTAATTATGTGTCACCTGGAGTGGCGATTATCGATTAATGATCAGCGAAATGGGTGCGTCTCACGCGACAACTCCATTCTAGTGACTCATCTACTGAGGCAATTCAATCCCTGACACGTGTCGGTCATTCATTATTCTCTCGTTTTCCAAATAGTCGTGTTTTTCATTGAATCTCCAATTTATTCGTCGTCCCATCGAAATCGATTCATTAAGAAATCAGTGAAACTCACAACTATATGAATACTAGAAAGTCTCGTTGATTTACTATTCACGAAATATTGAGAGTTCCAAGTAATTATAGTTAATACGAGAACTTTTTTTTTGTAAATAGAAAATCAATGGGAATATATGATTTATGAATTCTTTCACTCATTTATGTTGGTGTTTAATCATTAGAAGGAATAAACTGACGAATCATTTAGATAGACAATTAATGATTTCAGTCTTGTAAAAGGTGAATCTTTTTTTTTCGCGGTTTATTGTATGTCAGGCTCTAATGAAATGAACCATGAGAAATTGAAACCAATTTACCCTTTAGACTGATTACACACAAAGATGAGAATTGATAAGGCTGGGAAAAAAATGGAAGGTAAAAACGAATAGAATGGAAATAAAAAAAAATTAATTGTAATTAGTTGTGAATGAATGTGGAGTACGTGTCGTTAATTCCAACTCGACATAATGGGGTAAAGAGTGCATTTGTTGCGTTTAACAACCCTGCAATTTTCTTTTATTTTCTTGCATTCCGTTATGTTTACTAATTAAATGCGAGAAATAGGCTATTCCCATTGAAGACGAGCCAATGAAAACTACATATAATTTTTAATGGCAGAGAATGACGTGTGCCATATATCAGAAATATCGTCCCCCATAAGCAGATGACTGTTAATTAATGACTAATGAATTATCTAATTGACAGGAAAAAATTCGGTGTAGATCTATTGGTTAACAGATTACATATCCTGAATAGACGCGATAGAAATGTCAATCATACGAATAATGAATAGAGTAATAATTACATGATTAGTCAGTCGTTTACAATTTTTGTAATTATCATCGCTATTTTATTCTTCTCGTTTATTATTCCAATGAATCTATCAATTTTATGGCATCCAAGGGGTCGGCTTAAGCATCATTATGACAGATGTATGCAGATTACGAAATATGAGAAGTCAAATGGAAATGAAAGTAAAAGACGACCATTTCGATTTCTAGTTCATCGCTATTGAAACAAACTCAAATGTTTTTTTTTCTTTTTTTTTAAATAATGCTCTCGCTTGAAATTTCTGGTTCATTTTCATTTTTTAATGGGGGTCCAAAATTCCCCCAGGCGAGACGGGCACGTTTCAGCGACTTCAGTCTGTAAAGGAGACTTTCACCTTCGACGTCCATAAATATAATGAAAAAGTGATGATACAGTCGAATTAAATAAAAAAAT